ACTGAGTGAGATGGTCATGGTGGCACATGCCTGTAATCCCAACGACTTGGGAGGCTGAGGCAGGAGGACTACAAGTTTGTGGCTAGCCTAGGCAACTTAGTGAGATCCTGTCTAGAAAAATAAAAAGGGTTAGAGATATTGGTCAGTGGTAGAGCACCCCCAGGGTTCAATTCCCAGTACCCAAAACAAAAGCAATAAAATAAAACAAACACCTCAGCCTACTAAATGGAATTTTTTTTCTTTTTAAATTTGTTTTCAATTTTTCAGCATACTCTTAACTCATGTTCTTCATCACAATCTGACAGTCAGTTGTATTATCTCCTTCCTAGATGAGGAAATGGGTTCAGAAGGTAGTTTTCATTTAGATTCAGGTTTGTCTCTCACCAAAGCCCATGCCGCCCCACGGTTCGGACAGATGTCTCCACTGGAGCTGTTCAAGTCAGATACTACATAGTCAAGAAAGTTATATTTCTATTTATTTTCTTACCTTGGCACAGTTTTATGACAGAATATTAATTTTAAAATAAAAAGAACATCTAAACTTTTGATATATATTTTATTGAACATGTATGAGATTCATCTTTACATTACAAACATTTTACAAATAAATTTTTTTGTTAAAAAAGGAAACATTGCCTGGATTATCATTGTACAGTTTGAAACAAGGAAATATATAAATATGAAGTTCATTCTCCAAGTCTTAGCATACTGATGGAATCACTTCAATAACCTTTTTTTTTTTTTGGTGGTGCTGGGGATTAAACCCATGGCCTTGTGCATACTACGTAAGTGCTCTATCACTGAGCCAGTCCCCTGCCACCAATAGTATTTTTCATAAACTGATTGATTAGAAGTTAATACAGGTTGTAGGTAATCAACCAAAGGGTCAAATAAACACACAAGAGGAAAGTGATCCCCAAATAAGATCTATTTCCAAAAAAACCAAAATTTGTATATACTCTAAAATGTCTTCCCTTGTGTGGGATTTGGTCAATGAAGATCAGCTAGAGAATTTTCTGTTATATACATAAATAAACATTTGAAAATGCAGAATACATTGTATGTAAATTAAAAATTTTATCAGCTTTGTCACATGGGAAGACCACCCACATGACCATTTAAAATACAGTATGTATACATTATCTTATGAAAATCACATATTTAAGAGAACAAGGCCTTTATTTTCAGGGCAGTCTTAAAATAGGCTTAATGCAGGAATATTTTACTCTTTATGTTTTATATATATATATATATTTTTTTTAATTTTAATATTTATTTTTTAGTATTTGGCGGACACAACATCTTTGTTTGTATGTGGTGCTGAGGATCGAACCCGGGCCGCACGCATGCCAGGCGAGCGCGCTACGGCTTGAGCCACATCCCCAGCCCTGTTTTATATTTTTTAACATCTCAGCTATTAACATTATGCATAGTACCTAAGCCAACATATGAACAGCGGCTTATCATTTCAACTACTGTACTTGATTATATTCACATGACGTACCATCTAAGAGAACTGACCAAGCATAATTTCAGAACTGCCCAAATTGAAGCCTTGTTAAGAAAATAGAATGCAACCCCATCATATGAGCCCAGTCTCTCTCTCAGAGATTTGTTATGGATTTGTCATACTGTAAGCCTAATACTTCAGAGCACTTCAGAGCATTGAAATATTTTATAGCTTGCAAAGCAGTTTAGTTAGCATGGAAACCTGAAAGTCTAAAATTACTCTGGGATCTTTAAGTTATTAAAACTCATTCCTGCCTGAATTTGAATACATTTTGAATGGAGGCAAGTTGAAGATTATTTTTTCCTTGCAGCAACAAAAGAGCTAAGTGGTCAACATTTGTGGCTCACAGTTTTGTTCAAAAAAGCATATATAGAAGAATCTAATTTGGATATTATTCTGATAATTTTATGCTGGAATGGGAAGGTAGAGTTTAGAATTATTGGTCAAGACTTTTTCAGATCATAAATACTAGTGTATACTAGTTGTTTGTACACAGAAGACTACGAAGGGGAGTCAACCTTTAAAGTGTAAACTGATGGCCCAGGGCCTTCTCTGCCCTGTGCTACCCTTCCTTCATATCCTGTCTGTCTCAGTCAACATCAGTTCAAGTCACAGGAAGAGCATCTCCTAACTGGCCTGTGTATGCTTCTCAACAAGATATTTAAGACTCTTATTTATCTCATCCCAAACATGTAGCTTTAAATTGCCATTAGTCTTTCTCTCTCAGACAGAACTAGAAAAAGTGTTACATATTTGCAAATTATCTAACACTGGGCTATTTGAAGTTTGACTTTAATATTTAAAAATTAATTTATTAAGAATCTACTTTTCAAAATCCATTTTATTAAAACAAAATCAAAAGTTTCAAAGTCCAATTATCTAAACTTAAAAAGTGGACTTTGTGTGTGTGTATATGATATAAGTATATATCATATATAGATAGATAGATATAGATATATATAGATATCATATACACACACAGTCTCTTTCTTTATATATATCACCCACCCCCACTCTCCCAGCCCTGGGGATTGAACCCAGGGACTTGCAAATTCTCTACCACTGAACCACTGAGCTACATCCCCAGCCCAGGACTTTGTATTTAATAAGCAGCTTTTTTTGTTTTCATTAGCTACATGAGATTAACAATACAAGTTTTAGGGAAAGAAAAACTATAGTAGTAAGGAAGGCACTTAACTCTTAACAACCCTTAATAAATATTCTGATAGGACTGTAGCGAAATTTGAATGCAAAGTATTCCAATGCAATATGAGAATAAATAAAATGAATCCAGACGTTGACTGCAAAGGTCATGGCCATTAAGTTTTTTTTCCCCTCTTAACTTCTTAACTAATGTTTCTGCTTATTAATTTTTTTTATATTTACTACTATATAACTCAAGATGGGTTTGGTGGCTGCTAAAATTATAAATGCATGATTTTCATGCTTTTAAAATCTCTTCACATTTCATTTTAAAAAAAAGCATTCTGTACCATTTTAAATACCAAGAACTAATCTGAATAAAGACAGGGCCAGGGGCAGCTAGGGATGAGTAAGACAGGGGCACTGCCTTGACTAAAGCACCTTTTACAGGTCTGAGGAGTATCCTCACTGAACCATGCTTATAATCTAGTTTTATCATTTTTAAAACTGCAAAATCATCTGCCAAAATGCCAATAAAAATATAGCCTAGAAACAATATTTTGAAAATAGAAAAATATGTTTTAAAAAATGTCATAATAAATATCTCTTTAAACAATATCTTCTATCTTCCTATCTCTAAAACTTTGCTTCTTTCCATAATATGTAATAAGGACCAGTTCACTTGAAGACAGACAAGTCTTTCTTCCTTTTTGCTCAGTTTCACAGTCACTGTTGCTTTGGATTTTTCTTTTTTCTTTCCATATTTTTAAAAACCAGTGCACTGTAGTTGTATAGAACAGTGGAGTCCTTACCTCTTAATAAATCATTTTCTTTATTTGGACTAAGAGAACTAACCAAGCATAATTTCACTAAAATATTCAGGTCAATCGTTTTTCTTCAATATCTATATATTTTATTTTTTGATACTAGGGATTGAACCCAGGGTGCTTAACTACTGAGCTATATCCCCAGTCCTTTTTATTTTTTGAGACAGGGTCTCTCAAATTGTTTAGGGCCTTGCTAAATTGCTGAGGCTGGCCTTGAACTTGGGATCCTCCTGCCTTCACCTCTTGAGTTGCTGGGATTACAGGCGTGTGCTACTGCACATGGCCTTCAAAATATATCTTAAAAAATAAAAAACATATTGGACTTATAAAACCTTTTCAACATCCAAAATATTCTAAATAATTTAAGAATTCAGAATATTTTAAAAATTTCAGAATCTATTTGTAAAAATTTATTAATATGGGATACCCAATCTTTGAAATTTAAAAAAAAAAAAAGTCCTAACATGAACTTTTCTATTTTTTTTCCGAACCTTTAAATTTGGATATTTTGCCAACATGAAAGCTAGACCAATTTTATTCTGACATTTTCTTTCTTGAACATGATTTCGAAATTAAGGACTGGGACATCAATGGTTCTAAGGAATCTGTTTTTCTTCAGTGACTGAGTTTTTATTTGATTCCAAGAAGGTTTTGATCTTTCCACATGGAGACGGTCATATAAGAGCAGAAAACCTCTAAAGTTTATATGCTGTGCTGTGAAACTGAAACCAGACGAGATATTCATATTTGAAAGCCATATTTGATGTATATTACAGTCTACTCTTGCCTCAAAACAATTAATTTTTGATATAGTAAAGAAGAAAACATAATATCTGACCATAGGAAGCTAAAATGGAAAACTACCAATCCTTCAGTTCAGTAATGTTAAGTAGCTGTTTCCTATTTTCTACCTACTACCATGTCAGAGTAAGTTTCAGCTTTAGACAAGCCTGAATTTTCACAGAAAAGGATGCTCTGTTTCAGATCATATCACAATTTTTCTCGTGTTCTAAATTTTGACTGTTGAAACCAGCAGGTCTTAATTCAGTGAATTAAAATAGTTCTTCTGTTTGGGTGCCTTATGGTGGCCTAACATATTGAATATTAAGCTTATTTTAAATCTTCACGTATAGTGCTAGTGGGGATTCTACAGCTCATCTAATGTTAATGACAAATAACAATACTATATACCACATAATAACAATATCACATCCATTTACCTACCTCAGACTTAAAACACACTTGTCATTTGATTTATGACTGATATATTTATATTAATTTTAAGCATTTTATGTTATTGTAGTAAAACATTTTCCCAAAGCATGAACACCCACACTTTATATCAATTATTGCATCAAAATGAGTTAATAAACAGTATAATACCTTAGGTAGTATAATATGGAATATTTCCTTAAGAGGACTTAATAACTATCTTGACAGAATTTATAAGGGTTTAAATTTAAATTATATTCACTTATATCTAAAATGTAAAATTAAAATAAAAAACATACAGCCCAATCTATTGAGCACCTCTATCACAGATTTTACTCTTGAATACTAAAATTATACTCAGACATATCTAGTGCTGTTTTTCCATTGGGTATTTTGAAAGAAAGAACAGTTTTTCACTGTCATGTGCAGTAGCCACAGGAGCAGTGCACCTCCAAGGCACACTCTGGCACACTGCCTTGAGAATACCATTCAGATGTTCCTTCTCACTGGGTGGGGAAGGTGGGCGCTTTTGGAGACGAAATCAGCATTGGCTTTCTTCTTGACAGATGAGGTTCACAGATTCCTTTTAAGTGCTCGACTAAAATGCCTCCATACATCAACTGCCCACACTTTAAATCCACAGGGAAGCTTCAGATCTCCGGCTTGACTGCTAGCGTTTGATCACAACTTGTTCATAAGCTCCAGACCCCACCCTAGAACAGCAGGGGGAATAAAACCTTCAAAATGTTGAGCTGAAGTGTTTGAAATTGAGAGAGAATGCACTGAAGAGTTTTCTAATAGATTTCATTTCTACAAGGTTAAAAGGTATCACAAGTAGAAAATACTTGAAAGAGTAAATGTTTATAATTAATACATTGGGTTAGTCTAGGCCTTGATCTTCCTACTTATTTCCACAATAACCCAATAACACAATTCTTGACCTATCAATAAACTGCTACAAGGAATATTCTCTTCAAACATGTTTATATACAAATGCTAAAAAGTCAATCTCATCCAGGAGTATAAGTGACTTCAGCAGTGCATCAGGCCTTGCACTCAGTTAATGATGATAGTCTTTAGTTGTTATAGTAGTGTGGTTATCTTATTGAGCCCAAGTCTCACTATGTTGTTGAACTTCTGGGTTCAAGCAGTTCTCCTTGCCTCAGCCTCCTGAGCAGCTGAGAGTACAGGAGCATGCCCCAGAACTGGCTAGAGAATTCTTTTAGTTAATACATAAATGTCATTTTTTTTTTTTTTGGTAGATCTGGGGAATGAACTCAGGGCCTCATTTTTGCTCAACAAGTACTGTACCAATGAGCTACCTGTGCTCTAGACATTTTAAATTTTTGTTTTTGGTATAGGGTCTTGCTAAGTTGCCAACTTGGCCTAGAACTTGGGATTCTCCTGCCTTAGTGTGTCAAATAGCTGGGATTTCAGGTGTGCATCCTGGCACTGGATGCTTAACGGCATTTTAAGAGAAAATTTTAAAAGATGGCAATAAGTTAGTGGTTATTAGTACATCATGAACTGAGTTGGACTTCTAAGCTGACTGCTGTTACAAATTTATTGCACAGCTGGGTTGGGTGGCGCACAGCTATAATCCCAGCAGCTAGGGAGGCTGAGACAGGAAGATTGTGAGTCCAAAGCCAGCCTCAGCAAAAGCAAGGTGCTAAGCAACTCAGTGAGACCCTGTCTCTAAATAAAATACAAAATGGGTTTGGGGATGTGGCTCAGTAGTCGAGTGCCCCCTGAGTACAATCCCTGGCACCTCATCCCCCACCAAAAAATTAAAACAGATTCACTGCACAGAAGAAATGATGGGACCATCTTCAAAAGAGTACCAATGAATATCCATTTGTAGCCACAGATAATCAGAATTTGTGTGCTGTGGATTTAGCTCAGTGGTAGCATGTTTGTCTAGCATGTGCGAGACCTTGGGTTCAATCCCCAGCACTGCTTAAAGAGGAAAACAAACAACTCACAGGCTATAATCATAATCTTATTTATTTATTTATTTATTTATATGTAGTGCTATGGATGGAACACAATGCCTCACATGTACTAGGCAAGCACTCTACCATTGAGCCACAACCTTAGCCCCAGCAGACAATCATTATTTGAAGGAACCTGGCTTTGGGATGTCCTTTTAAGTATGCTCTGCTCTGGCCATAATGGAATAATAGGAACCAAGGTTTCTTTCCTGCCTTGAATAGTTATAAACTCAATAGAACATAGAAAATGAGAGTTTACACACACTGGACAATAGGCAGTGCAAGACTGTTTTCCCAGTAAAAAGGAAATCAATGAAGAAAGTCCTACAATGGCCCCAACTTGCTGCCTGAAGCAGTTTGCTTCAGGATCTCCCTAATCTGCAGGGAGGGAGGACCTAACAACTTGGTGGTCTGAGTGGAGGAGGAGGAGGTCAGGGCTCAGAAAAGCTGGTGGATAGAATTTGAAGGTTAGAATACCAGAAGGAAGGGTAGGAGAATTTTCAGATTTGATAAAAACTATAAACCCAGAGATCCAAGAAGCTTAATGAATCTCAGGCAGAATAGATACAGAGAGAAATACATCAAGGCATATCATAATCAAACTGTTAAAAGTAGTGAAAAGAGGAAATCTTAAAAGCAATCAGAGATAAAAGACAACATACAAAGGAATAAAAATGAAATCAAAGCAGACTTCTTTTTAGAAAATAAAGTTGAGCAAGCAGGTGCACACAGGACCCTATAAGAAACCCTGTGCAGGCAATCAGTATCCACTAGACTTCAGACAGATTACTGCTGAAAGCCCTCACCAAATCTGTATGGCTTGTTGCTGTGTTCTCTCCGTTCTCTTCTGTCCCTAGGTAAATGATTCTGGTTTCATTTGTACCATCATAGTTTATCTCACAGAACAGATCTAATGCTGACATGTTAACTTCTCTGATAAATACCCATTATCTATTGAGAGCCTATGTGTATAAGCAGCATGCTGGTCACTTCAAATAGCTTAATCTCCAGAATTAACTCTGCAACAGATCTTCAATTAGTGTATATAAAGTGATCGAATGCTTATTGCATACCAGATATTGTTATAAGCGTGTACATATCTTACCTCATTTAATTTTAACCTTATTATTCTTATGAGATAGTTTCCATTAGCAGCATTTTATGGTGAGGAAATTGAGGTAAAGAGAAATGACTTTCAAAGACACAGCTAGTAAGTGGTGAAACTTGGTACTAAACTAAGCAGCCCAACTCCTGAGCCTGTGATGTTAACCCTACTGATGCAGTGCTTTCTGGTAGCAGGTGAGAGATGTGGTTAGCCAAGATCATAGCTAAGCTGAGTCATAATAGCTAATCCAGGAATGAAACCCAAGTCTATCTGCCTCTGTGGCCCATTATCTTTCACCATGACATATTCTCTCTGATGTTCTTTGGTGTTTCTGTGGCATGTCATATGAACCATTTACTCTGAAACCTAATGAACACTTCAGGCTTTCATGCATTGGATGATTATTGTATTTTTTTCATATTTTTGTTATTAGCAGTGCTAGGGATCAAACCCAGGGCCTTGTACATGCTAGGCAAATAGTCTACTACTGAGCTACAACCCTGGGCCCCAGGTGATTATTCTAGCATTCATTTGAAAAGGGGGTGGGAACCAGAATCAACTTCTTTACTAAATAAATGTTTTTGTATCCTAAGTTTTAGATGATCTCTCAACCAAAATTCATCTTTCTTTTCTCTGAATAACAATAATACTCATAGCACATATTGAAAGTATTCAATGTATCTTTTTTTGCTCTGACAAAATTATGTCACTTTTCTAAAATGCCATTCTGATAGATCATTTCCATGCAAGAATCACCAATGGCTCCTACTGTAAATATGAGGAAGAATAAACTCTTCATTATATCAACCGAGGCCTTTATTACTGGGCTTAAAGACACTTGTCAACCAACCTTATGTCCTCAAAATTACTTTTACATGACCCATTCTGGGAAGAAATATTTTAGGTAATTCTCTAACTAGGTCATATTATTTAGAAGCTGGTAAGGTCAAAGTGGTTAAGTGTGATGGGCTTTGGATTTAAAGAGACATGAATCTTGAGCCTTGGTTTCACCACTCAACTAGTTTATGGCCTTGGGCAAATGATCTCTACTTCTTTGTATCTTTGTCTCCTTATTTTATTTTTGTAGTGGGATTGAACCCAGTGACACTCTACCACTGAGCACCCTCAGCTCTTCTTTAAATTTTGAGATAGGGTTCTTCTACGTTACTGATGCTGGTCTTGAACTTCAGTCTTTTTTTTTTTTTTTTGGTGGTGCTAGTGATCAAACCCCAAGGTGGGAGAGCAATGAGTTACATCCCTAGCCCCCTTCTTTTTCAATTTTATTTTGAGACAGGATCTCACTAAGTTGCCCAGGTTGACTTTGAATTTGCAATCCTCCTGCCTCAGCCTCCAAAGCAGCTGTGATTATAGTTGTGCATCTATTTCCATGTTTTAAATAACTAATTATAGTGTGTTGTGTGCACTGAAAGAGATACTATAAGAAATGAATACAATACATATATGTATGTGCTTATGCCTGGCACATAACTAATAAATACTCAATTTTACCTATAATAAGTATTGTATAATTATAATGCCTATAAATTCATTTTATTTGCTCCTATTACCAGGAATATCTGTCTTCCCTGAATTTGCCCGATAAACCCCTACTTATGGGCTGGGGTTGTGGCTCAGTGGTAGAGCACTCGCCTAGCATGCATGAGGCACTGGGTTTGATCCTCAGCACCACATAAAAACAAAATAATGTGTCCACCTTAAAAAAAAAGCAAAACAATACCTAAAGATACATAAATAAATAAATAAATAAATATTAAAAAACCCACTTATATTTATTCTCCCAAAGACCCTCTTCAAGTGTCAGCTCTTCCAGGGAGTTTCTCCATCTGAGTCCCTTTGCTGTTCTCTCAGAGTTCCCTCTACTATTTATAGTTTGTCTATCTTACCTGATATAAATAGTTTAGGCTTTGTGGGCCACATGGTCTCTGCTATACTATGCAATTCTGCTGTTACAGCATCAAAGCAGTCACAGATAGTATATATGTAACCAGGCATGTTTGTGTTCCAATGACACTCGCTTTACAAAAACAGGCAATGGTAATTTGGTCCACTGGCTGAGGTGCCAACTCCATGTGCTAGGACCATCCGCTGGCTGAGGGTAAGAGCTGGGTCTTTCCTCCTTGTATCCTTATCCACAAGCAGGTCCAAAAGTTAACTAAATTTAATGAGCGGATAAGTCATGAAGATTAATTAAAGGTCTAACTTGTGCTATATCCTTTATAAACTGCTTTTCAAGTTACTTCTTCAGGGCTGGGGCTGCAGCTCAGAGGTAGAGTCCTTCCTAGCACATGTGAGGGTTAGATCCTCAGCACCACATAAAAATAATAAATGTATTATGTCCATTTACAACTAAAAAATATTTAAAAAATTACTTCTTCATAGCATCTTTATGTTTCTTTCCTTCCTACTACCATATATGACTCTAGTTAATGATGTAGGTATTTGCTATTAGACACTATTTTGTATCCTTTGGGCTCTATAATGTGCTGGACACATAGGAGATACTCATTAAAATGAATACTGGTACAAGAAATGAACTAAAAATTCTTTCAGATTTTGAGCATGAAATAATAAAACAAATGTCTTGGCCTAGGCATTCCCATACCCCTGCAACTCTGATTTACTCTGTTGTGTGTAAGCTGTACATAAATATTACATAGAAACAGTGCCAGGGGTGCACAGAAGGGATGTGGGGAAGAGGACAATCAAAATTCCTAAGGTGTCCTTGACAGCTGTACTTACCATTCTGAAGTATAGACTGATTATCGCTAATCTGAAAATGCGACATGTTTCAAAATCTGAAACTTTTTGAGAATGGCATCTTGCTTAAAAGTTTCAGATTTTGGAGCTCAACTGGTGATATCAGTGTAAATATTCCAAAACTTAAAAAACTGAAATCTGAAACACTTCTGGTCCTAAGTATTTTGGACAAGGAATACTCAACTTATATTGAGAATCAGGGTGGTAGGTCTGGCAGGTAACTTTTCTCCATCTGAATTTGAATAACTACCAAAATGATATTTGGTTTTCAGATATTTTTTTTTGGTAGCTTCAGAGTGAATCCAGTGGGTGGGGGGCACTTTACTAAGGAGCTACAGCCCCAGCCCTTTTTTTTTTTGAATTTATTTTATTTTTTTAAAGATATGACAGTGGAATGTATTATAATTTTTATTACACATATAGAGCATAATTTTTATCTTTGTATATAAAGTGTGTTTACACCAATTCATGTCATTATACATGTACTTTGGTTTTTTTTTGGCATTAAAATTTTTATTACACATATATACCACAATTTTTCATATCTCTGTTAGCCCCAGCCCTTTTTATCTTTTGAGATAGGGTCTCACTAAGTTGCTGAGGCTTAATTGCTTATGCTGATCTGGAAGGTGCAGTTCTCCTGCCTCAGCCTCCCATGTCACTGGAATTAGAGACGTGTGCCACTGCAGCTGGCTTTAGAAATTAACTTGGAACGTATGTTAGACTCTAGCAGTAAGAAAGGAGAGTGCAAGAAAAGTTAGTTATTAGCTTATGTTGCTGAGTGGGTGCTTAACTGCACATAACAGAAAGGTCACTGAAAACTAAAGGTCGAATGTTCTTTTTGATATGTGGATGCTGGAAGAATAGAAGTTCAGAGGATTAGACAAAGGGGATTGAAGGGAATAGAGGGGGGATGGGAAAAGGAAAGACAGCAGAATGAATGGGACATAACTTTCCTATGTTCATATATGAATACATGATCAGTGAAACTCCATGTCATGTTCAACCACAAGAATGGGGAGTTATATTCTATGTTATGTATAATGTCAAAATACATTCTACTATCATGTATAACTAAAAAGAAAAAATTAAATAAAAAAGATAGGCCACTGGCTGGAAATATGGTTTTACTTTGTTCTGTCTATAATACTGGACCAAGAGGTGGGGACAGTGGCACACACCTGTAAACTCTTCAGGAAGCTGAAGCAAGAGAATTGCCGAATTCTAGGCCAATTAGTGAGACCCTGTCTTAAGATAAAAAATAAAATGGATTGCAGGCTGGGGTATAACTCAGTGGTATAGGACTTGCCTAGCATGTGCTAGGCTCTGGATTTGATCCCCAGCACTGCAGAAAGAGAGGAAGAAAAAGAACTTGGGATGTAGCTTAGTGGAAAAAACATGCAATTTCAATCTCCAATACAGAAAAACCAACCAAACAAAAATAAAATATTAGACTAAGATTCTTTTTTAAACAATTTTTTTATATTGCAACTTGTCTGGGAGCTCTACTAGTCCTTTACTAATATACTCTAAAAACACATCTAAGGAAATTATCAAATTTATAAAATATAATGTCAAACACATCCTGAATAAGGAAAAGTGAGAGCTACACCAAGAACTGTTAAGTCTTCTCATGCAATCACTAATATTAGTATTGTATAGCCTCAGTCTAATAAAAAATTTGCAACCTTTGTCCTCCACTCAAGCATTTTTTAAAAGTTAAGTCTGTATTTTAATAAGGTACTATTTGGACTACATACCTGTTTGGAAGATGATGACTGCCAAAGGTTGTACTTCCACCAGGACCCACAAATAACCTCAGTCCTTCTTCTGCAATATACATTTAAAATTTTGTTAAATGGATACTTATTAGGCTACTGCCAAATAATATTCATATTTTAATAATTCAAAATTCATATTTGTTTCTTAAAATAATCAAAAACAATTATGTACATGGCAATTTAAAAGCTATCCTAATAGTTACTTCTGATCAACTTCCCTTCAATTCTTTTTCTTTTAACTGAGTAAAGAAGACAGTCTTTCCTACAATTTTTCACAAGGTTTAATTATTTCTCTTTACAACCCATTACACAATGGAACTAAGTCCATTGTTAAATGTGCTCTATACACACCATCTGAGTAACTTCATTTGAGTAATTATACCTTTCAAATTCGTGACACATAAATTTATAGTTTAGGGAAAACACTAAGGAGGGATTGAAGGACTATGTTATTCCCTATTGTTCAAAACCAACTTTCCAAATCCTGTGACTTGAAGTACTACCACAGACACAGATGTAGATCTCTATTGTAAGGTATATGAACATGGCAGTTGCTGAAACATAATTTTAAAATACAAATATTCTTTAGAATTTCTTTTTGTTTTTTGGGGTGCTAAAAATTGAACCCAGGACTTCACAAAGGCTAAGTAACTGCTCTACCACTGAACGACAGCCCCTCTAAGACTGATCACTTTTAACTAAAGTTTGTTTCTTTCCCAAACTCAATATGCATCCTCAGAAATAAATAAGCTACAAAGTTATCTTGAGATTTTTATGAGCATCAAATTTCTTTTACAAGTGCGTAGCAGTGGCATGATGTACTGCCACTTTCCTACTGACCACATGGATTGTACAAACCTGGGTTACATAACTCTGTACTTAACAGTTCTCTACATACCTTCTGCACTGGAATCTAGGCTGAAGTCTTGACTTTGTAATATTTTTTCCACAATATCATCTGCATCCACTCTGGTGTCATCAACTCGCTTCATCTGAGATTCTACAGAATCCTGGTTCATTGGGCATCTTCAAAAAGAATCACAGGGTTTTTTTTTTATCCATTATTTTATAAAAATAATTTTTTTCTTTTCTTTTTGTGGTACTAGGGAATAAACCCAGAGCCTCACACATGCTAGGCAAGTGCTAGGCAAAGTTTTTTTGTTTTTAAATTTAAATTTATCTTTAAACTAAAAGGATACCTGTTGAGTTTTTCAGAGGCTACATCTTCTTTATCAGCTGCATCAAGATTTGGATCAGCTATTTTTTGCTCAATTTCATCACATGGCTCTAGAATACTTTCAATTCCTGTTGATGTACTTCCCACTGAGGTATTTCTCCTGTGGCAGAGCTCAGAGAAACTTGATGACCGGGAGTGACATGTGCTATACCCTGTCAGAGAAAAAAATCACTTTGGATATAATACTAATGGCAGACACACTGTAATCTAACACCCTTCTCCCACAAAATACTTAACTCCCTTCTCCCACAAAACAGCAGTTTCAAATCCTTTTAGGAATAAGAAATAAGGGATTCAACTTCACTGCTAGCCTCTACCTGATACTTTTGACTGCTGGCTTGCATAGCTTGATGTTCTGGAATGTCCACAGGCACCAAGTTCATCTGGAACAGAGGCACTTTTTGCTGAAAGATCTGCAATAAGTCATAACATGATGTTATTACTACCAAAAATTAATGGTCAATCTCTATTCTAATGTTCAGATTTTATAAGCTGTTAAGTTCATTTTAAGAAAAATAAGTTATAAAGTGACAGAGATATCTTTAAATCAGTACAATCACATTGCAAGAAAATTTTAAAAAATCTTACAAATAAAATATCTTAGATCATAGTATATTTCACAATATTTAGCAGCATGCTATCTTAAAAATATTATAACTTGGGCTGGGTCTGTAGCTCAGTGGTAAAGCGCTTGCCTTGCATGTGTGAAGCACTGGGGTTTGCTCCTCAGCACCACATAAAAATAAAGACACTGTGTGTTCATCTACAACTAAAAACATATTTAAAAAATATTATAACTTGTGTTCAGCACTTCTCTAATAAAAATGAGTCAAGTTTATTCCTTTAAGTTCTCACAAAATTGCCAGATTTAGAGTGAGTGGTTTTTGAGGAAATCTTGCTTCTTTAAAAATGTATCACGGCCTTAAAGTAAAGAACACTTTATTACTTTAATGTCAGTGTTGCTAGTGCTAGGTTATAATTTGCATCACATCTATGGCTTAATGCAGCATGGAAAGTTCTTACAAAATTGATTACAGTACTCAGTTTCAAAGTAAATTTACAAAAAAGCAGTGCTCAAACTGTTTCCTAGTAGTTCCCTGATCACATGCATATTCCAGATGCCAATTAGGTCCTTCCAGAAACAAACTTCTCCCTCTGAATGCAGAATTGTGACCATTTTCATTAGGATGAAATATTTGGAAACTAGAACTGTTTTTAAATTAGAAGTAGAAGGAAAGCAATTGAGTAATATAGTAATTATAGTAGCAGTTCTATAAATGATATTGTACACAGTTGGACCAACAAATGCTGCCAAATAAGTAAGCTACTGGAGTGACCTGGCCATCTGCGAAGGTTACTCATTTCTGGACAGATTGGAAGCATAAGAGCATCTATCTCTGCACCAGTCCTAATCCCAAAGGTTAACTCCAACAGAACACATTCAAAGAGCTGGTTCATAGTGAGAATTTTTTTTTTTTTTTTTTTTTAAAGAGAGAGTGAGAGAGACAGGGAGAGAGAGAGAGAATTTTTAATATTTATTTATTTATTTTTTTTAGTTATCGGCAGACGCAGCATCTTTGTATGTGGTGCTGAGGATCGAAGAACCCGGGCCGCACGCATGCCAGGCAAGCGCGCTACCGCTTGAGCCACATCCTCAGCCCCCATAGTGAGAATTATATAGAGCCCAAACTACTCAGATCGTAACTCATCGATTTATCTCCTGGTTTTAAAAATTTATTTGTTCAATAAATATTTATTGGGCTGGGGATGTGGCTCAAGTGGTAGCATGCTCGCCTGGCATGCGTGCGGCCTGGATTCGATCCTCAGCACCACATACAAACAAAAATGTTGTGTCTGCCGAAAACTAAAAAATAAATAAATATTAAAAAAATTCTCTCTCTCTCTCTCTTTTAAAAAATAAATAAATATTTATTAAGTTCTTACCAAGTCAGGTGCCCAAGGTAGAGAGTACAAAGGTATAGGAGTATAAAATAGATAAGACAAAATACATGTTCAGAGTTTAGAGGTAGAAGCAAACAGAAAACAATGCTGCAAGCACTAAAATACAAGCACCCCAAGGAAGCTGTTAAGAGCTCTAAAGGACAGTGCACATAACATCACCTGGTTACAGTGGAAAGAGCTCACAGAGACTAACCAAGCCTTTAACAATGTCTCAAAATCCCTCAGGTAGATGAGGAGGGAAAGGCATAGTAGTAAGTGCATACCTTGCTTGTAGAGAAGCAAATGGTTTGGTAAAGTTGGCAAAGAGTAGAGGGGTTGAGGGCTGAAGGGAAAAGAGGCTGAAGAGATAAGCTGAAGGACTTCCTGTGAGTTTATGAAGCAAATCATTTAATGGCTCAAAGCAAGAGTGTGACTGACCAATCCATATTCTGAGAAGATTACTGGGGCAACAGAATGAACAGAGGATGAAGAAGTGAAGGTTTTCCTTGGAATGGAAGCACCTTTTAACCCGGTTATCCCACTTCTCAGTATCTACTCAAAGGACTTAAAATCAGCATACTATAGTGAGGCAGCCACATCAATGTTTATATCAGCACAATTCATACTAGCTAAGCTATGGAACCAACCTAGGTGCCCTTCAACAGATGAATGGATAAAGAAAATGTGATATATATATACACAATGGAATATAACTCATCCATAAACAAAAATGAAATTATGACATTTGCAGTTAAATGGAAGGAACTGGAGACTATCATGCTAAGTGAAATAAGCCAATTCCAAAAATCCAAAGGCCAAATGTTCTCTCTGATGTGCAGATGCTGACTCACAATAGGCCAGGGAGAGGGATGGGAGGGAGGATGGAAATGGGAAAGAAAGGGAATCAATTGGACATAGCTTTTCTGTATTCATATATGAATATACTACCAGTATAACTCCACATCATGTACAACCACAAAGGGGGGAAGTGATACTCCATGTATGTATAATATGTCAAAATATATTCTTCTGTGATTTTTATATAACTAAAAAGAACAAATAAAAAAATAAAAAAAAGAAGTGAAGGTTTTTCACAGTAACCCAGTTGAGAGAGAGGGGTGGGGGAAAGAGGGGTGGGGAGGGAGGGGGGAGGGAGGGAGGTGGGGGTATGTATGTTTGTATATATTTTTTTAAGCAGGCACAAATGACAGGACTCAATTACTAAGCAGAAATTTGTGTCAGGTTAACTGGAATAGAAAATATGGGAGGAAGAGTTAGGAAGACTGTGATGGAGGTGAAACTCAAGACCCCTGAGAGTGCCTAAGGCTAGGCATTGTGGTACATACTGTAATCCCTGCTACTGAGAAGACTGAGGCTCAAAGCCATGACATTGTGACTATGTTCCTGGCCTTATGCTGGGATACAAAGACAAGGTCAGATCATAAAAAATACCTAAAGTTTGGATGGGGTGAAAGATAAACAGATGGATTTCAATGTAACAGGTGGCATGAAGTGAACTTTTCCAAAACCCATTTGGAAAGTTCAGGAGGGAATTCAGGGAGAAAGTCCAAAAACATAAGTTTGTGAAACAAAAATATTTAACTCACACCTATATGATCATATTTATATTTGTGTGATAGCTAAATCCAAGGCTATTCATGACACTGCACAGGAAAGTTAAGTAGGGGAGACCAAACCCAACAGAACACCAATATTTCAGAGGAAGACAGAAAAGGATAAAGAAGGCTTTAGAAGTTCCAAAAGAGAGGTAGGAGCCAAAGGAAGAGAAAGTTTCAAGAAAGAATAAGTGGCCAAGTCAGAGGAGAACAACAAAAACAATAGAATTTGACAATCATATAACTGGAGACATCATCAAGAAAGGAAAAAAGATAAGAATCAGATTGCAAATGTGTTTAAGAATAAACGGGCTGGGCATAGTGGTGCATGCCTGTCATCCCAGCGGCTCTGGAGGCTGAAGCAGGAGGATCTTGAGTTCAAAGTCAGCCTCAGCAAAAGTGAGGTGCTAAGCAACTCAGTAAGACCTTGTCTCTAAATAAAATACAAAATTGGGCTGGGATATGAATCAGTGGTTGAAAGCCCAGAGTTCAATTCCCAATACCCCCTCCCCAAATAAATAAATATATAAAAATAATAAATGGGCAGATGGGGCATGGTTGCACACATCTGCAATCCCAGCTACTTGGGAGGCTGAGGCAGGAGGATGGCAAACTTGAGGCCAGTCTGGGAAACTTGGTGAGACCCTGTCTCAAAAAATAAAAAGGGCTGAGGATGTAGCTCAGTGGTAAACCACCTCTCGGTTTAATACCCAGTATTGCACAGAAATAAAAAAAAGAAAGAAATTAATGAGAAGTCTATTCTTTCTGGAAGTTTTTGGTTATCAAGAGTGACATGTAATTTATTTGTGTGTGTGTGTATGTGTGTGTGTGTGTGTATCTATCTATCTATATACATATGTATATCTTGATGATTTCTCTCTTTCTCCAAATATACACAGACATCTATCTCTAAAATGACAAGCACGAACCTGCTGGAGTTTACAGCACAGCAGTAGACAGAGAAGGATGTAGGGCTAATGGTTTTTTTAAAGTTTATTTTCTCAATGTAAGAAAGAATTAAGAACATTTACATGCTAAAGAGAAAGAGCTTATTAAAAGGTCTAAGAGTAGTCAAAGGACTTGCTGATCAGGAACTTTCAATAACCATTATCTGCAAGACACTATATCACTACATATTTGAAAAGATAGTGAAAATGTTAATCCCTCCCTCCCTCCCTCCCTCCCTCCCTTCCTTCCTTCCTTCCTGTATTTTTTCCCCCTTTTTTGCAGTGCTGGGGATGCAACCCAGGGCCTCCCTTGAGCATGCTAGGCAACTCTACTAACTAATCTACATTTCCAACCCTCTGTTTGTTAAAACAATAAATAGATTTGGGTCACATAACTTGGATGATAGAAAGAGGTTCCTAAGTCCTCCTCCAGCCAACTTCACATCTTGCCACCCTCTTTTTAACTCATAGAGCAGATTCTGACTTGCTGAAAGTTTGCCTGGAGAAGATTTCAAAGTGTGGACTAGGGACCAGTAGTATAGGCATTACCTGGGAATTCGCTTTTAATACAAAATTTCAGGGACCAACCCAGATTTATTGAGTCAAAAAAGCATAGCTGCTGGTGCCAGCAATCTATGTTAACAAGTTCTCCAGGTGATTTTGACACACACTAAGGACTGGGAACCACTGGTAAGGGAAGTGATTTCTGGAAGAGAAGCAACACCTGAGAGGTGACTGGCAGAAGTTGCTGGGCATGTGGAATGGGAAAAATCTGTAGTCTCCTGTTGCATCTGTTGGGAGGAGAGGCACATGATAGGGGGTGGGTGTCAACTCAATATTTAGCTTTTCAGTCTGTCAAAGCACATCACTTTAGACAAAATAAAGCACTGGCTTATCAAGAATTGCACATTTAAAACTCTGCTGATTCTTAAAAGTAAAAATTTAAATCTGGAAGAATTTTGGGAATTTTTTAGGAGATCAAGTAATACTATTTCTCACAAATTAAAAAAATCAGTAAGCTACGCATACATACCTGCTATTCCAAGATGGACTTTGAGAGTCTCTCCACCTTTCCTGTCTTCTTCCAGAGACTCAGATTCACCAGCAATTGGTATTGACATCGATGTAGAGGGAGGTCTGTAAATAAACATTTCTAAGAATCAGAGCCTGAAAGTCTGAAAACAGTTAAGGAATGCCTGTGTAGTCAGTACACAGCCTTGGTAAGCTGACTTAGAATGTTAGCTTTTGAGGGTGGAAATAATAAAAATCAACAAATAATGTATAAGCATCTCTTAAAAGCTTGGATGAAATTCATGGGGAAAAAGGTTTTTTTATACAACAAAATAAGTGAGAGTAGAAAGGGCACTGTCTGCATAAAGTCCTGAAAAGGGAGGATTCCCATAGCAGCATGCACCCAGCATTGACAACGCAGGTGGGAGGCACCTCTGAGCCGATGAAGAAGGCACCAAGCCCCTCTGCATCTGAGGCTAGGAGATGACATCTTGCCTCTTGCCCACTAACCTCCTAACTAGTGTCCATGCTTTTTTTCTTCTACCTTTCTCTATGTAAATAGTTCACCTGATCCAGGAGAGTCAGTAAAGAGCCCTGATAGTTTATTTTGCTTTTGGGGCTGGATTCTCTGGGAGGTGATGGACCTCAGCTATTTTCCTCAGCTAATTCAGGGCTCCTCCTATTCCATGTAGAACTTGTGAAACAAGGAGGGACAGGTTTGAGTTTTAATAATTTTCTTTTTAATAGGGATTTTCATTATAAAACATCTCTAACTTTTTGAAGCTGATATTTCAGAGGAAAACAACAACTTCCTAGAAATTATACCATGGTGATCTGAGATAAAACTGGAAGATGACTGAAGGGATTGTGAAGCTGGCCCACTTTATGGTAATATTTAAATTCTTATTATCTCAATGGAATTCTCAGGTTATTTAGGTTTGGGGGATAAATTAAAGACTGCCATCATAAAGTGAGGCTGGATTTGGTCAGTGCATGCTTATGCATATATTGATATATCATACTGAACCTTATTAATCTGTATGATTAATACCTATTAATACAAAAAAAGTGAAGATTGCCATCAAATCTTTTATTTTTATTTAAAATTTTTTTTTTAGTACTGGGGATTAAACCCAGGGGTACTTAATCATTGAGCCATATCCCCAGCCCTTTTTTTAAAATTTTGAGACAGGATCTCCCTAGGTTGCTAAGGCTGGCCTCAAACTTTCTTCCTGCCTCAGCCTCGGGAGTCACTGGGATTATAGGCATGTGCCATCACAACAGGGTGATTGCCATCAAATCCATTTAACTTATAGACTGTTTTCAGCTGAGGATTTCCTAAATTACAGACTTATATGCTCTACTGGGATGTTTACCAGGACTGGTCCAAGAACTGCATCAAACTCAATATATGCCCAACTAAACTCTTCTCTGCCCAAAGCTGTTGTCTTCTTATATTCTCTCTCTGTGAATGCCATCAGATTCCACAAAGTCACCAAAACTAGAGTCCTGGATATTGCCTTTGTCTCCTTCCTACTATATTTCTATACCCAACCAACCTCTAAACCCCAGATTCCAATAGTTTTCCTAGTTATAATTTCTTCTCCATCATTGTGCCTTTTCCTGGGTGACTTTGAGAGTCTCCTAACTGGGTTCAGATCTCCACTCCATGCTTTCTGAAATGTGCCTTTGAACATGTTACTGTGTGATTTTAAACTTTTCAATGGCTCCTTTGGGATAAAGGTCAAGATCCTCAGAATGGCACATAAGAACCCTTTTCAGTTCTGCCCTGACCTACCTCTTTAATTAACAATTTTTTAAGTTATGTACATTTTAAAGTTATGTATAAGGGCTTGATGAAAAAAAAAACCCACTCTATATTCAATTTTTCTTTTTTTTTTTTTGGGTGAAATTTAACTTATTTAACTATTAAAATATATATTTTTTAAATTTTTTATTGTTGGTTGTTCAAAACATTACAAATTTCTTGACATATCATATTCCACACTTTGATTCAAGTGGGTTATGAACTCCCACCTTCACCCCATACACAGATTGCAGAATCACATCAGTTACACATCCATTGATTTACATATTGCCATACTAGTGTCTGTTGTGCTCCGCTGCCTTTCCCATCCTCCACCATCACCCCTCCCCACCTCTCCCCTCCCCTCCCCTCCTCTCTCTCTACCCCCTCCACTGTATAACCCTGAGGGTCTCCTTCCATTTCCATGCAATTTCCCTTCTCTCTCCCTTTCCCTCCCACCTCTCATCCCTGTTAAATGTTAATCTTCTTCTCCTGTTCTTCGTCCCTACACTGTTCTTAGTTACTCTCCTTATATCAAAGAAGACATTTGGCATTTGTTTTTTAGGGATTGGCTAGCTTCACTTAGCATAATCTGCTCTAATGCCATCCATTTCCCTGCAAATTCTATGATTTTGTCATTTTTTAATGCAGAGTAATACTCCATTGTGTATAAATGCCACATTTTTTTTATCCATTCGTCTATTGAAGGGCATCTAGGTTGGTTCCACAGTCTTGCTATTGTGAATTGTGCTGCTATGAACATCGATGTAGCAGTGTCCCTGTAGCATGCTCTTTTTAGGTCTATATTCAATTTTTCATGGGAAAAACTAATATGTAGAAGATGCATAAAAAGAATGGAGTCTTTACTCACAGTCATTAATCATCGATGGCTGACTCATTTCTGCATGACCAAATTCTTATCTTTTTGTTGTTATTGTTCTTTTTAGTTATATATGACAGTAGAAATTCTTATCTTTTTAATTCCAGTTGCTTCATTTTCCCTTTCACAGGTGACCTGTTTATAGTGTCTCTATCTTTCTAGCTCTTGGACCTGTTTCCAATCCTTCAGAACTCCCCAAATTTGGCTTCGTCTCTATCAGTCTCCTCTGGCTCTACTCTTGCCCATCCAGCTCAATTCCACAGCCCAGCACTTTGAGCAATACCTCAATTTGGTACCCCTTGTTCTGCGGCCTCAGAAAACCTGAGGAACCCTAACTCTTGACAATGTCAGTCATCTGTACTAACTACTCAAAAATTGGGACAATTAAGCATTATGGAGAAAATTCACTGACCCTGGGGATTGATAGTACAGCAAATTAGGAATCTAAAGTCTTGCTGAGTGTGGTAGTGCATGCTTATAATCTCAGTGATTTTGGAGGCTGAGGTAGGAGGATTGCAAGTTTGAGGCCAGTAATTTAGCAAGATCCTGTCTCAAAAAAATAAAAAGAGCTGGGGATGTATTTCAGTGATAACACACTCCTAGGTACAATTCCCAGTTCTAAAAATGAAAACAAAAAATACACAGGGCCAAAGGTATGGCTCAGTGGTAGTGTTTGCTTAGCATATGCAAGGCCCTCGGTTCTGTCCCTAGTACCTTCCTCTGCTCCAATAAAGAATATGGAGAGGAGAGTAGTGTAGGGGATGACCTCCTATAATGACAATACTTTTCCATGAGACATTCTATAAATATGCCATGTGCTATAATGATGCTAAGCAAACTGCCTTCTCCTCTTGAAATGTCTCTACCCACCTCCTGTGCTTAATGAGTTCCTATTCATCCTTCCAAACTCAGCTCAGTGTTATTCCCTCAGTGACAGATTTCCCAGGCTTTCAAGGAACAGTGATTAGGATCCCATTACATCATATGCCATGTTTAAGTCTCCTAAATCAGCAGTGAATTCAGTCATAGCAGGGACCCATCTGTCAGCATGGGGTAGGTAATCAAAGCAATCAATGAGTGGTTCCTGAGACTCTGGACAAATTAGTTGCTTAAACCTGAGTCCCAATGCCCTCCCTCAAAAATATGCATGACACTTACATCACAAAGCTGTTTCAAAAATTAAATTGAGAGACTGTAACATTTGTGAAATTATTATGACAAATGGTAAGCCCCTTTTTTCTAGAATACAAATGCGTTAGAATCGTACCATTCAAGAGTTTCATCATTCCTAATCTTCTTTATCACCAGATTATTCTAGTATAGTATGCAATTTCTCACTCAAAATATACTTTTTCTTCATCAGCACTTTTCAGAAAAATTATACAATCTATGTTACAGATATTCTGTTCATAAAATATTAAAACTAGAATTTAAATTTGATGATGCCAAGCTTGACTTGTTTTCTTTTCTTTTTTTTTTTTCTTTTTGGTGGTGCTAGAGAACAACCCCAGAACCTCACATATACTATGCAAGTGCTTCACCACTGAGCTATCCCTCCAGCCCTGCTGTACTCTTATTAGTTTCTCTAGTATATTCTAAAATTTTGACATCATGAAAAACTTTAGACAAAAGCAGTGAGAAGAGTTGAATGCATCACTCCAGCAGTTATTTATATGTTTGCTTTACACAAAGATACTTGGTTGTCCCTCAATTCCTCTGTGCCTTAATTTCTTCATCTGTTAGGTGACAATTTGGATTATATTAATACTTTTAAAAAATTGTACATATTTAAGGGGTACAGTGCAGCAATTTGTTACATGTATACAATGTGTAATGAGCAAATCAGGGTAATTATCATTTCTACCTCCTTAAACATTTCATTTATCATTTCTTTGTCTTATGAACTTCAGAACTCCTTTCTTCTAGCTCTTTATACAAGATATAATAAATTGTTGTAAACTATATTCACCCTAATGTGCTGCAGAACACTGGTACTCATTCATCCTAACTGTATTTTGGTGCCTATTAATCTGACCTTCCTCTATCACCCTTTCCACTTACTCTTCTTGGCCTCAGGACCACTCTTCTACTCTCTACTTCTATGAATGTACTTTTTAAGTTTCAACATATGAGTGAGATATGGGTACCTGGCTTATTCCATAACATTCTCCATGTTCCATCCATGGTGCCACAAGTAACAGGACTTCATTCTTTTTTAATGGCTGAATTGATATTTCATTGTGGATATGTACATTTTTTTTAACCATTCACCCACTGATGAACACCTCAACTGATTCCCTGTCTCATCTATTGTGAATAGTTCTGTAATAAACATAGGTGTGTAGGTAAGTTTGATGTATGATTTCATTTCCTTTGGATATATACCCAGTAGTGGGATAGCTGGGGCATATATACCAAAATTTCCCCCTACTATTAAGAATTGAACCCAGGTGTGCTTTATCACTGAACTACATCCTCAGCTTATTTATTTATCTACTTTTGATAGCAGGGATTGAATGTAGGGGGCACTTAACTACTGAGCCATATCCCCAGCCCTTTTTATTTATTATTTTGAGACAGGTTCTCACTAAGCTGCCGAAGCTGGTCTCAAACTTGTGATCCTCCTACCTCAGCCCCCCAAGTCGCTGGGACTAGAGGCATGCAACAAAGCCATTTATACCAATGTTTTAAAAACTGGTTTTTTGATGCTCCCAAAGAGATTCTGGGAATATGCAAGGGAGAGTACTCAACAGCTCTTTTTTTTTTTTTTTTTTCTGTTTGGTGCTGGGGATTGTTCCCAGGGCCTTGTGCACTATAGAAAAGTGCTCTACCACTAAGCTTTACTCCCCAACCCCCTGCTTATTCTCATGCTTATTACCAAAGTCTTTATAAACTCTATATTGTCAGAATTATCTTTGTAGAGATAATACAGAACATCAGAGCATCTATGTTTGAGCTCTTTTATATGGGAGTTTCCTAAGTAGAGAAGTAAAATGCAAAGTAAGGGCCAGAAAGGTTCATAAAAGGTTCACAGGAAGGAATAATGAATTCATTTTCTTTTATTAGGTTTTGCTGCTCATTTTCTTATTTAACCCTAAACTGATTCCACTAGAAAAACAAATTGTTTTTCTGAGAGAATAAAAATAGTATAGCAAAAACTGTTTAATCCTAAGAGAACAGTAAATAATGAACCAGGAACTTATGGCTTGTGAGAAAATAGAATAGAAGTTATAGCAAAATGTATAGTTTTTTTTTTTTTAACCCAGGCATACTGTACCACTGTGCTATATCCCCAACCCTTTTAAAATTTTTTGAGACAAAGTCTTGCTAAACTGCTGAAGCTGGCCTTGCACTTGAGATCCTCCTGCCTCAGTAGCTGAGTAGCTGGGCTTACAGGTGTGTGTCACTGCACCTGGCTCTATAGGTATAATCGAGAATAGATTCGTATTAAAATACATATTTTCATCTTTACAAAACAGTGTGAAACTAGAGAACTATACGGACAATACTTCCTAAGTTATAGTAGGAGCCATTAAAAACACAAATTTGATACATAGTGTAGTAAATGCTTACTTTCTAAGTATGTTTTTCTTAGATGTTTAAATAATATCTAATCAATTTTCATTTATAATTAATAAGTGTCTTCAAGCTTGCTGACAGGCAATCCTACTGCATTTCCCAAGTTCACCTCACAATCTAAGACTTTAACAATCATTTTCCTTTTTCTGCATACTCCCACCCTGTCCTTGTTGTAATGATCATTCTGTTTCCTATTTTACTATGAAACCAGAAGCAGTTAGACAGGAACTTCCATCTGCTTCCACATATCTGCATCAACAGCCATGTTCCCTGCCCTCATTGTGATAGTCCAAGGACATTGTCCCTTTTCTCTTTCCCATCACTGGTTTCTCCCTCTTTATTGGGCCAATCCCATTGGCTGTACTAGCTCCCATTTTTAAAAATAAATAAAATCCGCCCCACCCCATATCTTCTCTTTACTTATGACCCCATCTTTTTATTCCTTTTTTACCCAGCAAAATTCCCCAGAAGTGTTGTTTATATTCGCTGTTTCCAATTTTCTCACAAACTCTCTTGAACCCATTCTGAAAAGGCTTTAGCGTTCTACCAAAATTCTTGTTAAAGTCATCCACGTCTCTAGATGCCAAATCAGTCCTCAGATTCTGAGACCTACTGCTGCAGTATACCCCCCAGCCGGCTGCACCTCCTTTCTGGCCACTTTCTTCACTGGGTTTTCAGGATGTGCTCTCCTTTGCTTCCCTCCTCTTTGCTCACTGCTTGTTCCTTTACTGGTTCTTCCCATCTCCCCAACCTCTACATGCTGGAGTGAGTGTCTCACACTATAACTATGGCCCTTTCCTTATCTGTATTTATACTCAGTCCGTTTAGATCATTTTACTAAGCCTCGTGGCTTTAATTACTATCTGTATGCTGATGATATAATGATTTCCAGTTTATGCCTGCAGCCTGTCGATATATCCACCTGCCTATTTAACTCGCCCTGCTGGGGATTAAACAGGGTTCTCAAACTTAACATGTCTAACGCCCAAGCTCCCAGTTGTTCCTCTTGTGGTTTTTCAGTAAGTGAAAACATTCTTCCTGCTACTCAGACCCCAAACTTTGGACTATTGATTCAGTCTAATTATCTACCTGTTTTGGTACCCTCCAGTGCTCCCTCAAATTGTCTGTTCTCCACCTAGTAGTCCTAAGCCAGATAGTTGTACTCCTTGCTTGAAACTTCTATTACCTTTTTTTTTTCCCCTCCTAGTACTGAGGATAAAACCCAGAGCCTTGTGTGTGCTGGACAACTGCTCTATCACTGAAATATATCCCTAACACATTTTATTTTTAATTTTGAGAAAAGGCCTAAAATTGTTCAAACAGATCTTAAATTTGCAATCTTCCTGCCTCAGTCTCCAAGTAGCTGGGATTACAGGTACGTGCCACCATGTCTAACCTCCATTAGATTTTTTTTTTTGGGGGGGCACTGGGGATTAAACCCAGGAGTGCTTTACCACTGAGCTACTACATCCCCAGCCCTTTTTATTTTTTGAGACAGGATCTCACTAAATTGCTTAGAGCCTCACTAAGTTGCTGAGGCTGGCCTTAATCTTGTGATCCTCTTGCCTCAATCTCCTGAGTTGCCAGAATTACAGGTGTGTGCCATCAACCTGGCTTCCATTAGCTTTTTATCTCAGAGTATAAGTAGAGTTCTTAATATAATGGCCTGCAAGATTCTATCATTTGACTTTACCTCTTATTACCCTCCTTTTTATTCACTCTGATCTAGATGTACTGGTCTCCTGGCAGTCACTTAAACATGCCAAGAACACTTCTCTCTCACAGCTTTTCGCCTTGTTCCCTCTACCTCAAATGCTCTTTCCTTAAATATCTGCATGACTTGCCTCCCATCCCCTTCAGGTCTCTACTCAAATATCATCTTGACTAGGGAGTCTGTTCCTGACTACTTGGTATAAAATAGCAGTCTCTCTCTCCACTATGGCTCTGCTACCTGGCTTTATTTTTCATCAAAGTAGTTATCATCATGCTTATATATATTTACTTAAGTTTTGTTATTTGTTTTCCTCTTAACATATGAGTTCCAAAATGGCAATGACAACCAGGTGTGGTGGCACATGCCTGTAAACCAGTGACTTGGAAGGCTGAGGCAGGAGGACTGGAAGTTGGAGGCCAGATCCAGCAACTTAGTGAAGCTCCAAGAAACTAAGATCCTGTCTCAAAATAAAAAATATAAAGGGTTGGGAACATGGCTCAGAGTTTAAATAATCTTGGGTTCCATCCCTGGAAACCAAACCAAAACAAAATGGCAGTGACTTAGTCTATTTTGTTCAATGCTGTTTCCATAGGGTGTAAGATAGGGTCTTACCATTTAAACAAATCTCTGCTATACTATCAGAGAAGTAACTCATTTATTGGACATCAACTTACGTTTTAAAACATGGGTCACCAGACATCAGCTGCATACTGATCAAAACCTAAACAAGAAATATCATAAGAACAAGAAATATCATAATTAGAAAATATTTCTCAAGAGCAAAGCTATGTATGATGAATCTTTCTTTCCCCCACACTATGAAGCCCATTATTTCTACTTATAAAGCATTAGATAAAATGATAGTCAAATTGATTGCACTCAATATTAAATTACTGCTTTATATAGATAAAAAATCAAAAATAATTTTAAACATTCAAATTCATAATTACAAAAACTCAGATCAGAAGAGATGAAAACAAAAGCAAGTGATTCTCTAGTAACAATCCTTCTTGTGAGTGTGTGGCTGTGCTCATCTAGTTCATGTCTTCACTCCCAGACTCCTGTGCTGCTTAAGAGTCTGCTGGTGGCTTCTCAAGAGAGCTTCTGGCCTCTGCTTTAGGTCAGGATTTAGAGCTTTTCTTCTTTCTTGAAATGCTTTTCTCTGGGTGCTGACTACTTTTTAAGAATCACCCAAAGGACTATTTCACATTCTTATGGGAATAATAATGGTAATAAAAATGATGTTAAAATGGTCATTATTTGAGAATTTATCATGGGACAGGCATAAGCTAAAGGTTTTACATGTAGCATTTCATTTAATTTTTAATACTCCCATGAGAAAGTGATACTCTCATTTTAAGCTCAAAGAGATTTATATTTTCAAGATCAGAGAGCTGGCAAAGGGAAGAGCTGAGGTCTTAACCCAGGACTGCATAACCCAAATTCAAGGTCTTAATGAATAATAAGATATGAATATATTATTACATGTTTTCCAGTTAATGGCTAACATGTATCTTTTATAACCTTATTTCATTGAAAACTCTTCCCTCAGTGCATCCATTACTATTCCTCTTTTCCTTAAATGTCAAACATAACCTTCCTTATCACCTCTTCTTTCTTACAATTCCATCAAGATAGCACTCTTGAATATCCTGAATGTCTCAGGAAGAAGATGGAGATGACACAGACATCTTTTAAGAAACTGTATAGTGCGGAAGAACAGAGAAGGCAGTAGCTGGAAGAGATGAGGAGCTGGTTTGTGTCTGCTTTTTAAAATATGGGAGGGCTGGGTGTAGTTCAGTGGTAGGGTACTTGCCTAGCAAGCACCAGTCCCTGAGTTCTGTCCCCAGTACCACACACACAAAGGGAGACAGATAAAGAACTGTTTCTTTATACATTGATAAGAATGGATCCTTAGAACAGATGCTTAAGAGAGGGAATAATCCAAGGAGAAAACCCCTTGATTAGGTAAGATTTAGATTCTAGAGGCTGAGAGGAGGGATGAACTTCTGACACTTGCTATAATAGAGGGCGAAAAGGATAGTGAGTCTGGAGAGACAGGTAGAATTGTAAGTTTTTGATGGGAAAATAAGGGCATTTGAATGTAATGACTTCTATTTTCTTAATAAAGGATAAGACAAGGGCATGAGCTGAGGGCAAGAGTGGTATATAAAGGTACAAGGAGAAAGAAGGTATGAAAAAGAATATATAAAATTGGGAAAGATATGAAAATAGGCTAGAGCTCAGTGGAATAGAGAAAGGGAATTGAGGGGGAAGGAGGAAAGATGGGAAAAGGGAGGAGTGGTGGAATGAATCTGACCAAAATTTCCTACATACATACATGAATATACCACAGTGAGTTTTACCTTTATGTATATCCATAGTGCACTAATTTTAAAAAAAGCTATAAATAGATAAGTAGAGTACAGGAAGGGGAACAAGAGGAGGGAGGAGAGGAGGGGTTGTGCTCAGGAGTGAATTGGAGTAAATTGTACTTCATTTTGTATATTTATACCAAAATGAACCCTAATATTATTTATATCTATAATGAACTAATAAACAAAAAAGGAAGAAAATATAATTCTAAGACATTGGTGCTAAATAAAGAGGAAAGAAGTGGTGGAGGCAATCCATAAATAGAATGTAGAATACACAGAATCAAGAACACAAATTTAGAGACTATTTTTGAAAAGAGGAGGGATTAATTGATTAGAGGAAAGGAAAGAAAGGAGTTAGCTTGGTAATTTTGGGAGTTAACGAGGAGGATACTTAAGAGCTCACTTCAGATGGCTTCACTATATTTACCTTCAAACCCCAAATTAGATTATTGCTGCTCCAGGATTTATTGGAAGCAGGAGTGAGTGATAGAGCTGGGATCAACTTCAGGCACTCATTTCTCCTCTCCATAAATAACAGGTATTCAGAATAGATTCATGTGGATATGTAGGAATTAGCACATCCCCCCCCCCCCCCTTTTTAATACCAGGGATTGAACCCAGGGTTGCTTAGCCACTGAGCCACATTCCCAGCCCTTTTTATTTTTTTATTTTGAAAGGGTCTCACTAAGTTGCTTGCCTTAGTCTCCCAAGCTGCTGGGAAATTGGTGTGTGCCACTGTGCCTGGCTAGCTTTGTTTTTAAAGATAGTTAATTTTTCCATAAGGTAATTATTTCATAAAAAGCCTTTTTTTAAAAAAAAAATAAAAAACACATCACACTGGTAATGTGCTGATGTCACAACAAGGGTTAGAAGGAGGCACATCTCACACTACAGCATGAACACCCAATCATCGTACTTATGAACTGAAAAGGATCTAAAAATCCTTTAAAGACAGACACAATAAACCAAAACAGTTAAACTAAGTTTGGATACAAAAGAAATTATTGAGTTCTTCCCTTTAGTAATGAAATTCTTATTTTTAGTGAACACTGTACTGATTTTGAAATATAGTAGCTATTGATAATTAATAATTGTGATGATTCAGTTTACTTTTTCCTTGTTGACAACCATATTTCAATAAAGAAAGTTTATTATGCATTTTAAAAAATTGGGAAAGGAAGTAGAATACGACTGTGGGTTGGCTGTGAACGTGACTTCAGTAATGGCCGCTAGCCTGGTTACGTGTCTTTTCCAGCAAGTAGGGGAAGATAGACAGCTGAATTCAATAACGGTTGGAGATTACTTAAGGGAGAGCAATAGACTTAGGTGCCAGGAGTATTAGGACTATGATACTTATGAACCATGGAATCTAAAATGGATCAAGATGGAAGGGAAAGGAAGTGGGAGCTGATAATAGTGAGAAAGTGGCAAAGTGAGAAAGTGGTGGTGCTGAAGATAGCTAAGTGAGTAAACCAAAGGGGCTGGGCGCATAGGAGAGAGTGGGAAGAGAGGGGAAAACTTCAAAATGAAAATTTGGAAGTGGTAAAGTTTCTAGTGATAAGAAAGCCTAAAGCCAGGCACACACCTCTAATTCTAGCTACTCAGGAGGCTGAGGCAGGAGGATCCCAAGTTCAAGGCGAATGTGGGTAATTTAGTCAGATCCTTCTTCAAAATAAAATTTAAAAAGGGCTGGGGATATAGTGATAAAGCATGCATGGGTTCAATTCCCCCCAGCCCCAGGGGAAAAAAAAAAAACAAAGAAACAACAACCCAGAAAGTGATCATGGGAGTAAGAATTGAGAGGAGGAAGAAAATGTTGCTGGAAATAGGCAGTTTAAGGAAAGGAGGGTCTTAGGCACATTTAAGATCAGCTATTAGAAGAGAATATACATACACAACACATCCACAAAGATAGCTCGCCTGCATAGATTGTAAGGTCACTCAAAAATGACAACAGGAAAAGGGATAAAGAGAAAACCTGTGAGCTTGAAGCTATATCACCAATGAATAGGAGAGAAGGTGACTAGGTAGTCAGTAGACATCAGCAAGGGAGGGAGAGTTACAGATAACTGGTGTGACCTTCAAAAAGGTGTGTTTTGTAAGACACAGTGGGAGAAATGGTGCAGAAGAATCACTGGGAATCAGAAGGAAACCACTCTATGAGCTGATGCTAAGGAATGTGAAGCTCTGAAATTACAGTTATTTCACTCTCCAATGAAAACAGTATAATTCAGAGACAGACTTCATGAAATATAAGTAATAAAATGAATACAATGAATTTAAAGGCCACTGACCAGCTATCAGAAGCCATGCATTCTGGCCTCAGGTCTGCCACTGACTACTTCTGTGATACATTTAAGTGAGTCTCAGTGTCTTTATCTACAAAGAGGGAAATCTTCCCTATCTACCCAATCCTGCCTATCCCATAGAGATATTTCAGAGTTAACCATAAAACTATAGAACCAACATAAAGCTTATAGCATGATGCTTTTCTAATTTCTTTTTATCTTCTTTTACCATATTAATTACTCCATATTAATTACCCATCTCATCTTATATTAATTACTCCATATTAATTATCCATATCATCTTTCTTTAAAGCTGCTAAACTCATGTGAGGGATGGACTGACAATGAAAACCATTTCATGGGCTGGGATTGTGGCTCAGCGGTAGAGCGCTTGTCTCGCACAGGCGGGACCAGGGTTCGATCCTCAGCACCACATAAAAATAAAGGCATTGTGTTGTGTCCATCCATACCTAAAAAATAAATATTAAAAAGAATAAAAATAAAAACCATTTCATGAATTTTTATATTTTTATAGTCAAATATTTATTAAAAACAAAGTTTGGAAACTATAGGTATAAGATCATTCTTTGCTGCACTAACTTCTGAATAAAAAGCATCCAGTTTCTATTTAAAAGTATTTCCTTTTCTTCTTATTAGGTAATTTACCACATTGAGAAGCAAGAAACTAAAATACAGCAAATGGTTTATCCTATGTCTTTTATTAGGCACAAGATACTTTCCAAATATCTTTTCAATGGATCTTATTTAGTATTTTGTTTAACACTGTGAAGTGTATAGTCTCTCAAGTGTTTACCAGAACATGTAGTTCCTGATAGTACTTGGAAAAAATAGGGCAGATGCTCAGAAGTGGGTTTTTCCTATCACTCTCCTAGTTACAAGGAAACCCTGCGACGGTGATGAATCTATCACAGTTGCTTTGGAAATCACTTTTTGGGAGCTATAAGCATTTTAAGGTATCTATCCATTCATTGTGCTCCTTCCTCCCAATGAGCACTTGTGTTGTAGTAGTCTGTTTGTGTTCTTCTCTGAATCTTGCAGCATGACAAGAAACACATTAAGGTCTCAAAGGTAAACTTTGTTACTTTTCACTGCTTTTGTGATTTGGATAGTTTTCCCCCTTCATGGTGAGTATTTCGGTGGTGTGGTCAGCTTATGATTTCAGTGCTGATTTACTTCTTGTCTTTGACAGTGTATACCTTTGCTTATTTAAAGGTAGAGACTCTCATTTGTCAGCATGTCAATCTGGGTGCTTACTTTAAGAATGGAATTATCCTGCCTTGTATTTTTGGTATCATAGCCTTCCAGTAAACAGCGACGAGTGGTATTTCCTGATCCAGCAAACTCTGCCAGGTTTAGATCTGCAAAGCCCAGCTATGAAAAGAAAAAGAATTATATTAATAGAATATCTAGTAGGCTTCTATCACATTCTGTCATATTTTCTTTAAAATAAATATTCAGTCATGCTCTAAACAAGTTTTCTCAAAATTTGGTCCTTTGCAATTTGCAATTCGATTATTTGCTTTATACGTGCCCTTAAATTGGTTGGCTTTTTAATAAAAATGTATTACCTATTCTTGCCTTAAGCAAGATCTCCAATATCATAGATTTGATGTGCTAAATATTTTTTCCGGTATACATTAAAATAAATACATTTCTGTTGTAGTACAACTAATGCATATCAAACAAATAACATCACTGCAAGTAGCAGTGACACACCACACTGGGAAATACTATCACAGCAACAATAATCATTTGCATATAAATAGAGAAAAATGATCGGAATCCCCTCTATTCTGGTTCTTGCTCTATGGAAGAGCTAACCACTGGTAACTGCACATAGTTGCAGATTAAAGTTCTCACTCTGTGCAAGTAGTAGGATGATTTAAATGAGCTACACACTTTCTTTGGTACAAACCTCTTTTATCCTCCCATCTTTCACAACATTTGCCTTGTTGATTGTCCTTATGGAAACTTTCCCTCCCTTTCTTATAGTTTTGGCTTACATTCACCCTCTCTGCTGATACCTAGAAATATAGTTCAAACCTGTTGCTCTTTTTTATTACCACCCCGGTGTTATGGTTTGGATATGAGGTGTCCTCCAAAGCATTCATGGGTTGGGCAGAGATGAAATGACCAAATTATGGAAAGTGTAACCTCATCAGTGGATTAATTCATTTGATGGACTGATGATCTAGTGAACACTGGAAGTAAGTGAAAACAGGTGGGGTGTGGTGGAGGAAGGGGGGATTATGTCTTGTCCCTCACCCCCTACCCTCTCTCTCTCTCTCCTTTCTGGCTGTCGCGAGCTGGGCATCTTTCCTCTACCACATTCTTCATCTTTTTCTTCTTTTTTTTGGTACTGGGGATTGAACCCAGTGGCACTTAATCACTCAGTTCTTTTTATTTTTTGAGACAGGGTCTTGCTAAGTTCCTTAAGGTCTCACTAAATTGCTGAGGCTGACTTTGAACTTGTGATCCTCCTGCCTCAGATCCTGGAGTCACTGGGATTGCAGGCGTGAGTCACCATGCCCAGCTACCATGTTCTTTTGCCATGATATTCTGCCTCACCTAGGTCAATGGAGTTGGTCAGTGATAGAACAAATCTCTGAAATCATGAGCCAAAGTGAACTTTACTTCCTCTTAGTTACTGCCGACAGGTATTTTGGTTACAGTGAAGAAAAGCTGACTAACACAACAGGTTTGGTGCTCATTTCTTTTGCAGTTACCAAAGGTTGCTCTACAGTCCTTCTTCTGATGTTGCTCTATCCTATCCCATCTCTGACAGGCAAAACAAATGAATCCCATTATTATGTCATTATTTCTTGAATACACTGTCATGCCTCATATGACTATGTATATGTAGAATCTTTTATTATTATTGTTATTATTATTATTTTGGTACTGGGGATTGAACCCAGGGGTGCTTTACCATTGAGCTACCTCCCCAGCCCTTTTATTTTTTATTTTGAGATAGTCTCACTAAGTTGCTTATTGCCTTACTAAGTTGCTGAGATTACAGGGGTGAGCCACCATGCCTGGCTTAATCTTTTATTAACAAAAACATGAATTGAACAAGCACATCTCTGTGAACCTATAATAAAATGCACTATACATTTCAAACCCTGTTGAGATTGTTTGCTTTAAGGCTTTAAAACAGTGGCACATATAAATGGCATTCAAGATGAAATTTAATTAATTAATTTAGTGGTACTGGGGATTGAACCTAGGGGTGCTCTACTACTGAGTTACATCCCCAGACCTATTTTTAATTTTTTATTTTGAGATGGGTTCTCACAAAGTTGCTGAGGCTGGCCTCAAATTTGCAATCCTCCTGACTTAGCCTAATTAGGACTACAGGCATTTACCACTGCACATGGCTGAGATGAATTTTTTAATTGAAGACTGAAGCATTATTTTAGTAGCTTTTAACTCGTACAGGAAGAATGAAGAGTAAGAACCTAGAGTATAGTTGAAGGGCCAAATGCAGTAAGTTAGGTGCACAATCAAGTTACAAGTAACATATACCTCATTTTTATATGAGTACGCTCTGGTCTTATTGCCTTTTCCGGGCCAACAAATCAGCAGAAAAAGTCTGGATTTATCCAGGACAAAACAATATCCAATTGAGCATATGCAGATGCATGTGACTTATTTGATGACACATTATCAACACACCCTATTTCATATATTACCCTTTTCTTTAAACCTCCAACACCTCTTTCCTGTCTTCTCTCTGCCAACCACCTTGCTTCCTATTTCACTCAGAAAATAAAAGCAATCAAAAGAGCATTTCACTTCCACAAGCTCTTACTGCCGGCCACATCCATTCTCCTACCTGCCCTTGTGCTCTGTATTTGCCTACCCACTTACAGTGCTGAGGTGAACTGGCTGTATTCCTAAGGCCAACTGCTCTCCTCCTACGTACCTGACATCATTTTAGCAGTTCTTTATGCTCCTTGGCATTCTAAAATTTCCTTTCTCTTCTGAGTCATTCCCATCAGTATACAATTACATTGGATTTTCTCCTATCTTTCCTTTGTGTGGGGGTACTGTTAGGGATTGAACCCAGGGTCCCTCTACCACTGAACTACATCCTCAGCTCTTTTTTGGGGGGGCGTGTACCAGGGATTGAACTCAGGGGCAGTCAACCACATCCCCAGCCCTATTTTGTATTTTATTTAGAGATAGGGTCTCACTGAGTTGTTAAGCACCTTGCCGTTACTGAGGCTGGCTTTGAACTCTAGTTCCTCCTGTCTCAGCCTCCTGAGCCGCTGGGATTACAGGCATGTGCCACCACGCCTGGCCCAAGCTCTTTTTATGTTTTCTTTTGAGACAGGGTCTTGCTAAGTTGCTGAGACTGATCTCAAACTTGCAATCTTCCAGCTTCAGCCTTCTGAGTCTCTGGTGTGTGCCACCACACTCAGTTGTTTTTTCTCCTATCTTAATGAACAAAACAAACCAAAATCTCCTCTCTCTCCAGAATACTGGATCATTTTTCTGTCTCTGTTCAAACAACTACAAAACTCCTTGAACAAGCTGTCTACATGGTCTCTGATTCCTCTGTCCTAGGACAACTTCACTTCTTCCCTCTCTCCTTGTCTTCGGTCTACAAGCCACAATGTCCTGTTCTTTGAAAACACCAAGATCACTTCAAGGCCTTTAGCTTTTTTTTTTTTAATTTTTGGCCTGGGAAACTGTCACATGGTCTTGTAGCTTTCTCTTTCACTGCACTCATGTCAGTGTTCAAATGTCATCTCTCTAAGGAGCCTTCCCTGGCTATCCTGAAATATGTCCCCCTTTCCTCCCTTCTCCTAAAGTTTTTGCCCTCGACCCCTATGTGCTCTGTTTTCCTCCTTAGTTGTTATATCATGTCCACATACATTTCATACTTATTTTGTTGTCTGTCCTCCCCCATCTCTGTCACCTCCAATTAGAATATAAGTTTCATTAAAGGCAGGGATTTTTGTGTGTTTTGCTAACTGCTGTATCTCTAGTACCTAGAATAGTGTCAGCAAAAATGTCTGGCACATGGTAGGCACTTAACAACATATTCACTGAATGAAAGACAGCTTACTGACTTACCACCCACTGTAATAATACTAGTATTACATAGTCACTAAGTTGGAAAAAACCTGATCTGTCTCTGTTATGAACTACATGTTTGTGTTTCTCCAAAATTCACATATTGAAACCCTAATTACCAAAAAGATGGTATAAAGTAGTGGGTCTCTGGAATGTAATTAGGTCATGAGGGTGAAGCTTTGGTGATGGGGATCAAACCTAGGGCCTTGCACATGCTAAACATGTGTTTTACCACTGAGTTGTACCCCCAATCCTAAATTAATGTCCCTTTAAAAAAGGTAGAAAAAACTGGGCACAGTGGCACACACCTATAATGACTTGGGAGGCTGAGGCAGGAGGATCAATTTAGCAATGCCCTAAGCAACTCAGTGAGACCCTATCACAAAATAAAAAGTAAAAAGTGCTGGGAATGTAGCTCAGTGGTAAAGAGCCTCTGGATTCAATAACTAGAAGTAAAAAACAAAAAACAAAAAACAAAAAAACAGACAGGAAAGAGTTTGCTTCCTCTTTGCACTCTGCCATGAGAGGCCATATGCAAACTAGGAGGTGGGCTCTCATGAGATACACGACATCTGTCAGAATTTTTTTTTTCTTTCTTTTTTTAATGGTAGAACACCCACTTTACCTCTGAGCTACATCCCTAGTCTTTTTTTTTTTTTTTTTTTTTGTGTGTGTGTGTGTGTGAGACAAGATTTCACTAAATTGCTGAGGCTGGCCTTGAACTTGCGATCCTCCTGCCTTCTCCTGAGTTATTGGGATTATAGGTGAGGAACACTGCACCTGGCTCTGTAAGAATCTTGATCTTGGACTTTCCAGTTTGTAGAAACATGAGAAATGAATGTCTATTGTTTAAGTCACCCAATCTATGATAATATATTAAAGCATCCCAAACTAAGATCCTACTCCCTATTAAAACAGTTAAAAGATGGAATATGTTAGTGTATGATGTTTTAGGCTGAAGGGTATCAATGAATAGTTCAATATTTATTGAGTATCTTTTATGTCCCAGGCCCTGTTCGAGACACAGGAAATAGTAGAGAATAGCAGAAATACTATGCCTTCAAAGAACTTACATTCTAGCAAGGGACCAAAGAGCCCATACTCTCTTATATCTTTTTCTCTGGCTTCACTAAGATGAATAATTCACACATGAGAATAATACGTAATAATACACGTACACATACACAAGCTGTATATATGTGGTAGATATTAATTTATTCAGAAAATAATTTTCAGCATTTAAATTCCAGGTAATGTTAGTAATTGGGAATAGAGACTTTTTTTTTTTTTTTGGGTGGTGCTAGGATCAAACCAGGACCTCGTGCATGCTAGGCAACTGTTCTACCTCTCAGCCTTTATAAAATCATTCTTACTCTCATAGATTAATGTGGGAAAACAGAAAAATAAAAAATTCCTACAATATTGTGTGACAAGTGCGGTGATAGAGGAAGACACAGCTACAAATAAGAAGAAAAATTCTCAGTGGAGTAGGATGACTAAGCTGAGTCTTTAATGATACGTGAGTTGACAGGATAAGGGGAGGGAGAAATACATGCATAGTAAGGACACCATCAAGTCACAAGGCAAAGAAGCTAAAATAGCATAAGACCCTCAGGAAGTTTATGACGGCAGAATGTCTCATAAGGATGGGTGGTTGTGGAGGAAGGAAAGTAGCAGAAATAATTTGCAAACCAAAATGGGTCTTACATGCTAGGTTATAGAACTCTAAATTTTCTTTAGAAGCAAAGAATAACTTGCTGAAGGACTGAAAGTGGGAGAATGATACGATTATGTTTTAATTTTAGAAAGACAACTCTGGCGGAGGATATAGGAAGACAACAGAAGCAAAGAAACCAGACAGGAGGCCAACACAGACTGCAAATAAGAAATAATGAAGGCATAACCCAAGGCAGTGGTCTTGACAGTAGATAGAAGGTATAGCTTCAAGCTTTTCAGAAGGAAAAAAAATCAAGAGGATTTATCAGCCATCACAGACCTTGTTTGCCTGCCCAACATTCAATGCCCTGCTATTCCTTGATAGCAAAGCCTTGATTGTATTCAGGTGTCCACTCTCCTGAGTTCATCCATGTGCACAAGAAAAGTAACCCAGTCCTACCTCATTACTAAACTATGGTTATTCTAAGATAACCATGGCAATCCATTCCTATAGCCACAGATGACATAGGGGTGAGCATACGACCCTCTTCTGGCCAGTTACAAGTATGGGAAAATCCTCTGAGGGCCATGTAGGGAAAGTTTTCTCATTAAAAAGAAGCAATGCATGAAGAAGCAGTTGAATTCTGTCAAAAGTGAATGTGCTCACTATAAGCTGAGCAGCCAGACACCCAGTGTTCAGGAGAGGAGCTAGCCAAGAACAAAGCCATCGTGAAGAGAATGAGATAATGGAAAGAGAAGAATTTGGGGTCTTGATAATGTTCTTCAGTCAGTAGATTAACCAGTCCTGAAGCAGTTCTGTCTCATGTTTGTTTTATGAGATTTTTTTTTTTTTTTAAAAAGCTCTAGTTGAGGAGGTTTTTCTGTTACTTGTAGCAAAGAACATCTTAGCTGACATTGCAAATACTAGATTTAGTGTTTAAGACTAGGGTTCAGAGCTGGGCACAATGATGCATTCTGTAATCCTAGCTACTCAGGAGACTGAAGCAGGAAGACTGCAAGTGTAAGGCCAGTCACAGAAACTTAGCGAGACCCATTTCCAAAATAAAAAAGAGCTGGGGATGTAGTTCAGTGGTAGAGCACCACTAGAATCAATCTCCAGTACTGGGGGAAAAATAGTGTCCAGATTCTTGGCTTATATGACTGGAATGATGAAAATACCAGAGACTGGAAATAAAAGGAGCATGTGTTGCTTACTCATTCCTTCAATCAGCAAAAAAAAAAAAGAGCATATTCATTAGTAATTTCACGTAGCTAGTAAAAGCATCAACAGGAAGTAGCGATATATCAGTTGGCCCTCTGCATCTATAGGTTTTCAAGCTGTAGATTTAACCAATTTGGATAGAAAATATTTTTAGAAATTGTGTTTATGCTAAACATATACAGACTTTTTCCTGGTCATTATTCCCTAAACAATATAGTACAACTACTTTATGTACAGCGTTTATATTGTATTAGGCATTATAAGGTATGTATATTGGAGGATACATGTAAAGGCAAGAACTATGTCTGTTCGTTTATTTATTTATTTGTTGTAGAAGGACACAACACCTTTATTTTATTTTTTATTTTTAGGTGGTGCTGAGGATAGAACCCAGTGCCTCACATGTGCTAGGCAAGCACTCTACCACTGAGCTACAACCCCAGCCTCTATTTATTTATTTATTTGTATTTTAAGACAGAGTCTCATTAAATTGCTTAGGGTTTTGCTAAGTTGCTGAGGCTGGCTTTGAACTTGCAATGCTCCTGCCTCAGCCTCCTGGGTAAATTCTATGCCATATTATATAAGGGATTTGAACAGGCTTAACTTTTTTATCCTGGGGGAGAGAAGAGCCTTGGAACCAATCCTTTGCAAACATCAACAGATGAATGTGTACAGAGTGCTAAGAGAGTACAGAGGAGGATCCTATTTCACTAGTGAGAGATGGGCCTGGGAATACCACCAAGGAAAGACAGTTTGAATTATCAGTAAGCTACAGCTTCAAGAAAACCAGAGGTCATTCTCTAAGAGGGAAGCTAAAGCCCAAAAATAACATATCATAATAAGCATTTAGAAAGAATATGCCTATAACTGATTATTGGTTCCAACTGTTTAACCTCTAAATTGCTTTACTCAAAATTAATGAATCTGGAACATTAATTAGAATTAAGTTTATAGATAGTGATGAATGATATTACACAGGCCAAGAGTTAAAGAACATCCACTTACCTTTGCATAAGCTTTTCCACCTTTTAATTCCTGCCAAACATAGAAAGCATTATAAGGACATCATATAATTAAGGATTTAAAATTAAACATATGTCAAACAATGCCAAAGTAGATAGTTATATGCTGAAAAAACAGTTAAAATCTAATGATCTTAAATCTAACTGGATAGAGTCTTCAAAATTCCCCCAATGACCAGAATGTTTACTTAATGTATAATTTATTATTTTTAATATCAATACTATTATTATTGAGATGAGGTCTCACTATGTTGCTATGGCTGGCTTCAAATTCCTGAGCTCAAGCAAGCCTCCTGAGTAGCTGGGACTACTGGCACGAGCCACCATATGTGGCTGTAGCATGTAACTTTAATAAGAACACAAATGATGAGAAGACAAGCTAATATTTTATTTATACGCTGAAGTAGGCCGTAGGCCTATTGCAAAAGCCTGAAAAAGGTTAAATTACTTACTCAGTTAAGCATACTCATATATTATAGAAAGATTTCAACAAGTTGAAACTTCACTACAGAGACAACCATTGCTATCAATTCTTACAAAGTATTCCAGAGATGCTCTGTGCATATAAAAGCATACAGATAGGATAGTATAAAATCTCTTATCTAAGGTAAACAAGACTGACAAAAGTGGAAAAATAATAATATATATCAATATTTTATTTGAATTTACGTGTGTGTGTGTGTGTGTAGTAATTTGCCAAATGTTTATATTTTAACATCACAGCTACAAGAATTAAGCATAAAACACTCAGAAGAATTTCTAGCACACAGTATATTATGCTTTTGTGTTTGCCTCTATGATCAGAGCCAAATTCTTTGTTAAGGTTTAGATAGGTGGTATCCCCCCAAAGCTCATATGTTAGACAATGCAAAACTTTCAGAGGTGAAATGATTAGATTATGAGATGTGTAACCTAATGGAGCAATCCACTAGTATGGATTATGAGGGCATTAACTATAGGCTGGTAGGATGAGGGTAGAGGAGGTGAGTGATTGGGGTATTCCTTCAGGATTTATATTTTGTCCTTGGTGAACAGAGCTCTACTTTCTACTGGGTGTCATGTCCTGAGCTGCTTTCCTCCGCCATGCCCTTCCACCATGATATTTTGCTTCATTTTGGGTCCAGAGCTATGAAGTCAGCCCACCATGAACTGAACCTTGAAAACTGTGAACCAAAATAGTTTTCCTCCTTTAAGTTGTTCTTGCCAGGACTTTACATTCCTCTTCCACTTTTAAAAAAGTGTTTGTTGAATGGAGTTGTCTCTTATTTTTCTTTCATAAACACATTATCTATAATTTCTAACTTTTTTTTTTTTTTGTGTGTGTGTGTGTGTGTGTGTGTGGTACTGGAGACTGAACCCAGGGCCTTGTATACTGACCTATATCCCCAGGCCCTTTAAAAATATATATATATTTTGAGACAGGGTCTTGCTAAGTTGCCCAGGCTGGCCTCAAACTTGTGATCTTTCTGCCTCAGCCTCCTGAGAAGCTGGGATGACAAGTATATGCCACTTCACCAACTAATTCCTATCTTTAATATAGTGAACTTTTAAAAGTTGAGAGGTAATCTATAGGAAACTCTTATTATTTGTAAATTTGTGTGGCTCCTCTTCTTCCCTCTTGCTAGATCTACTCTATCATGGATTATCAAAATCTTCTTTATTAAGTTACTGTCATATTCCTTAAGTTTCCTTCCTTAAACAAACAAAACTACAGTTCCTCAGATGATCCTTCTCTCCTTTAGCTAATTCTTTTCTTTGCTCCCCTCAAGGTCAACTCCTCAAGTGATTTATTTCTCCCTGCTGTATCCTACTCTCTATTCAACCCTCTCCACTTGGATTTTGTCCTCAATTTTCCTTTGTACTAACTCTTAAGATTCTGAATGATATTAATTTTTTTTAAGTCAAAGGCTCTCTGTCTTCATCTTACATAGCTTCTCAGTAGCATTTGACAGGCGTGGCTACTCTGCCTCCTCTTTTTACATTACTTTCCTCTCTATACTTCCCTGGTGAAACACCTGCCTGGTTTCATTTCTACCTTACTGGCTATTCCTTTTCATTTTCCTTTGCTGGACCAATTCCTTTATTAACCTCTTTAGGAAGCAGGTTAGTGGCATACTTCATCAAAATTGAATCCAAATGTTTATCTGTTTATTTACTTATTTATTTGGTACTGAAGATTGAACCCAGGGGTGCTTTACCACTACATCCTCAGTGCTTTGTATTTTTGAGACACGGTGTCACTAAGTTGCTGAGACTGGCTTTGAGCCTGAAATCCTGCTGCCTCAACCTATACCTTACAGGCAAAACCTATATTTTTAGCTGGGCAACTGGCCACCCAAAATAATGACCATCTCTGTTATAATGTTGTGCCAAAAAAAAGCATTTCTCTTCTGAACTATTAGAACCACCTAGTGTTCTCTCTGCCAACCTTCCTTCCATAGCAGAAGTGATCTTATAAAAAAAAAAATGAGTCTCTCCTTATTTAAATCTTCCAATGGACTCCAATTATAGTTAGAATAAATTCTACACTCTTTACCATGGGTTACAGGGTCCTACCTGATCTAGTGTATCCAACCTTATCACCAAGAATTTTCCATCTCTGTTTTCCAAGCTCCAGTGAGGCTGGTCTTCTGTCATTTAAACATGACAGATTTGTTAGTACTGCCTGGCGATCATGGTACTTTTGAACCTGTAGTTTGATATCTTTTATCAGTTTTGGAAGAGTCTCAGCCATAATCTCCTCTTCCTTCCTCTAGGGCTCCAATTACATAAATGTTAGACCTTTATACTGTTCTCCATGTCTTACACTCTTTTCTGCATTTAAAAAAAATATTTACTTCCATCTTATTTTCCAAATTATCAGTGTTCTCTTCAGTTGTGGTAAAGCTGCTATTAAAGTCATTTGTTGAAAAATTTTCATATTCTTGGCTTTAAACTTTAGTTAGTATATTTTTTGGTTCTAAAATTGCTTTTATTTTTTTTTTTTTAAATTACTGTTTCTAGTTCTCTGATGAAACCCACTTTGCTCATTAATTAGTCATTGTAAAGTTTGTCTTTGGAATTTCTAAAACCTGTATCTTTCATGGGTTTGTTATTATCATCTATTTTTCCTTTTGAATTTTGATCATGTAGTCACGACTCCTGGCATATTGGTTAACTGTGTTTGAAACTTAAAGAAATAATCTAGGGTTGAGTGAGACTGTCAGAAAAGACTTGAATTGATTGGAAGTGGGGTTTCAGTTTTGTAAGGGCTGATTCATATGCACTATGCTTCTCCTTTTAGGTTGAAATACTTAGCAAATTCCAACCAAAAGTCTGGGATGTTCACCAAGCCTAGGAGGCATCTCTTTCTTGATGGACCCCAGACACTATTTTTGTCCATTTAGACCTGTAAGACTGCTGCAATCTCAATATAGCTTATTAGCTACTGCTTGCAAATTAGCAAACACTTTGAGGATAAAAGCAATGCCAAATGTTAGGTCTGTCTATCTATCTATCTATAGTATCTTTTTACATATTTGTGAGTGCCAGGCAAGTGCTCTATCACTGCGCTATCTCCCCAGCTCTTCCATACATCTTCACATGCCTGCCTCTCTTCAAATGTTAGCTTGTAGAGAAGTCTTCAAAGACTCCTCCCCCAATTTTCTAAACTAAGGTCTTCCTCCAAGTTATATCTCATGATATTTTATGCAGAACACTTATTATTTATTTTGTTATGTGTTTACCTCTCTTTCCTATCATTCCTTACCAATTCTAACCAGAAAATGAAGTCCTTGAAGGCAGGAACCCATTCCAGTATACTTCTGTCCTTTCGGTGCCTAGAACAATACTTGGCACATTGTAGGTACTTACATATTTGATTAGTGACTGACTGCATCCCTATGTCTAGACAAAAAAGCACACTACCAAACTTTTTGATCTTTATCAACTTTATAGATTAAAAATAATGTATCTTGGGCCAATTTTGTGGCTCAGTGGTAGAGCGCTTGCCTAGCATGCATGAGACACTGGGTTTGAGCCCAGGAACCATATAAAAATGAACAAATAAAAAAAGGTATTGTGTCAATCTACAACTACAAAAATATTTTTTAAAATATGGTATCTTACTTGTAGTTTTGTGTGAGGGTGGATAAATTTTTATATGTTGAAAAACTATATGTTTCACTCTCCATCAAGTGTATATTCTGTCCTTGCCTAGTTTTTTAAGGACTATTGATTTTTTTCTTATTATTTGGAGGTACTTTTTCTATATTAAGGAATTAGTGCTTTGACATGACTTGCAAATATTTTCTCTAATTTATGGTATTATTTTGCAACTCACAAAATGTTTAATAGTTGAGTTAGTTAATCTTTCTTTTATGGCTTCTTTTATAAAATACTTGGGAAGGATTATGTAGAATAAATTCAATACCTCTATCTTCCTAGCATAGCATGTCTTCCAACATCCATTTTCCTCTTCTATCAAGTTAGAACCTGTTGGCCACCCAGCTAACAGATGACATTCACGGTTTTTCTTTTAGTTTGGTGTGGTGACATGACTAAGTTCTAACTGGTGAGATATGTATAAAATACACATACATCACTTTTAAGTCATGTCCTAAAAAGGGATGCATTTGTTCTTATGTCACTAGTTGGGAGATAACTTGATTAGAGCAGCTTCCTTTTATCTAAAGAAGACAACATATGGTGAAAATGAAAATGGCAGGGCTGCTCTACCAGTCCTGGATCCTACCCCTGGTACATAAACTTCTACTTTGTTTAAGTCATTGCCTACTTGGGTCTCTGTTTAAGCTGCTTATCATATTATCCTAATTAATATGCCAGACACTTATGATCTAAGGAACTGGTTTACTTCAGATGAGTAATTCCTATCACAAGTAGTATTATTAGTTCTTGCTTATTATTCTTTAAAAACAGACTTTGAGTATCTTTATTTGAAGTTATACTTTACTCTAAACTTGTCATGTTTTATTTATCTTAAAATTCAAAGACCGACAAGTCATCTTTCAGAAATCATGATCAAAACTCCAATTAGAAGGGCTAGGGTTACTATTTGGCTCAGTGGTAGAGAGCTTGCCTAGGACATGTGAGGTGCTGGGTTTGATCCTCAGCACCACATATAAATAAATAAATAGACAAATAAAATAAAGGTACTGTGTCCATCTACAACTAAAATTTTAAAAAAGATAACTCCAATTAGGAAAGGTTTTAAAAAAAGAGTAGCAGCAATCAAGGTAGAAAGGAATGATGGTAGGATGCTCTACTTATATATCAGCTAATCCCTATACCTTCCTGAAGAAGAAAGTATTATTCCTTATTTGGATGAGGAGATAGATTTTACAGGACAGAATTGCCTCAGGTCTCATAGCTAATACATGACCAATGGGACTCAAGCCCATGTACACTTTCACTGTACCACACTTCCTTTAAGGTTGCCACCATTCAATGACTGCTGCTCTAAAGGACCATTTAAAGAGGTCTATCTTCATTAAAGTCTTCAAACTTATAAAATTATTTACATACACATGTGTTTGTTATATTTTAACTGAGCAGACTAAGCAATACAAAAGAATTTTATAAATATAGCCACATATATCATAGTGCTATCAGTTCATTCAAAAAGTAGGATACAAAGACTAAACATACAGCTTTGTTTTTCTAGGCTATAGGACTAGAGTGAAAAAAAAGCAAGACAAGGGACTGCTTTTTGTTCTAAATCTTTTTCTATTTAATTTTTGCCAATGTATGCACATTACTTTGGTAATTTAAAAATATGTAATACAAAACATAGTTTACTTTTTTTTGGTACCAGGCATTGAACCCAGGGGTATTTAACCACTGAGTCACATCTCCAGCCCCTGCCACATCTTTTTTTTTTTTTGAGACAGGGTCTTGCTAAATTGCTTAGGGCCTCACTAAATTGTTGAAGCTGGCTTTGAACTTGTAGTCCTCCTGCCTCATCCTCCCAAGTTGCTGGAAATATAGACATGTGCCACTACACCTGGCCAAAGTTTATATTTTAAAGCCAGAGTTTATTAATTCACTAGCAGTGGTGACTAATGGATTCCTCTTTTTTACCCTGAAAAGCAGCATCACACACATGCACAGCATACAAGATGACATTATCACATTTGTGGATTATTGGTAATATCCTTCAATCTAATATGTGGAAAAGAAATATAAAAAACAAAACATGTATTTGTAATTAGAAAAGTCTGTGTTAAGAGTTCCTCCTTCCCCTTTATTAACAATGTAAATTTGGGCAAATAACTTCTTTGAACCTTAGTTTTCCTGAAAATGAAGAAAATAACACCTAATTAGAGAGCTGTTATTAGATATGATATTTATAAAGTTCCTAGAACAATGCCTATCAAAGAACAAGAACTTAATAAATGACAGAATATAGACATAATAGTCCCCAAACTAATGTAAATAAAGTCAATATTCATGAATAGTGGTAGTGAGAGGAGGGTTCTTGAATATTTTAATTTATAACTTCAGATTCTTCATCATATTTGTCATAGGAATTTAAATTATTGCTGTAATTGTGAAGTAAAATTATATATGAATCACCACAGTTCTAACCCAAAAGCAGAGCTAAATAAAACAAGTCAGCAATTATGGAATTATGGCTTCTAAAATGGGAGAAGTAATAGGCTCTTTTTATACCTTCCTCACAGATACTCTGTAGATACATGGGTCGAGGATTCCTGTGGCAGCACTGGCACTCATTTTGCACATAAATGAGAACTTCTTTCTCCAGTGAACGCAGTTTGCTTGAACCACTTCCCTGAAAAAAAAAAAAAGGGGGGGGCAATTACTCATTATTGATAACATGTTAAAAACACACCCACACTTTCACTCAAGCCTATAATGCAAAGTGATATATTAAAAGTCATCATTTGTAAATATAAGAGCAAGAAGAAAATACGTTCCTAACAATGATCTGAAAATAACTGCAAAGTTTTAATTTATATACAAGAAACTGAAAAAAAATGAATTTCTTATCAAGTCAGTCAGTAAAAATTGAGGCTTCATTATTATTTCATTCAACACACAATGCACATTCATTTTATGTGTGTTGGTAAGAGCCGGATGTTTAAAATACAAAGATGAGAAATACAGAGTTCCTAACCTGCAGGGCTTATGTTTATGATTAGTGCAAGAGATAGGAAATATATACAAATACTACAAATATAAAAATATTTACTCTAAGATAGAGTATGACAGTACTGTTTCAGTAACAGGAGCTACCATTTACTGAGAGCTTACCACTCACTACTTGATTCTCTACAACCCTAGGAAGTAGCTGGTGTTTCCCTCACTTTGTAGACAGGGAAATTGAAACTCAGCAGGGAAGTTAACTCAAGGTCATTTACACAGCAAAAGCAGAACTGGCAAACCGGGCTCATTTAACTCTACAGTCCCCTTGCCTATAAATGAAAATCTCTATTTTTTCCAATAATTCACTCTTTCAAGTTTGCTGGTTTTTATACATGTTGTTCTTTCTACTATCCTGTGCAGGTTCAGGGTGCTAAACCTCAGAAAGTAAGAATAATTGTTTTCCTAGAAGAACTCAAACTACCATTATTTGCTGATGACATGATTATATTATATACTTAGAGGATCCAAAAAACTCCACCAGAAAACTTCTAGAATTAATAAATGAATTCAGCAAAACAGCAGGATATAAAATCAATATTCATAAATCAAATGCATTCTATACATCAGTGATGAATCTTCTGAAAGAGAAATTAGCAAAACTACCCCATTCACAACAGCCTTAAAAAAAAAAAAAAAAAAAACCCAACTTGGGAATCAACTTAACAAAAAAGGTGAAAGACCTCTACAATGAAAACTACGGAACACTAAAGAAACAAATTGAAGAAGACCTTAGAAGATGGAAAGATCTCCTATGCTCTTGGATAGGCAAAATTAATATTGTCAAAATGACCAGACTACCCAAAGCGCTATACAGATTCAATGTGATTCCAATTAAAATCCCATTGTCATTCCTTATAGATATAGAAAAAGCAATCATAAAATTCATTTGGAAAAATAAGAGATCCAGAATAGCCAAAGTAATCCTTAGCAAGAAGAGTGAAACAGGAGGCATCACAATATCAGACCTTAAACTATACTACAAAGCTATAGTAACAAAAACAGAATGGTATTGGCACCAAAGTAGACTTGTAGACCAATGGTACAGAATAGAAGACACAGAGACAAACCCACATAAATACAGTTATCTCATACTAGACAAAGGCACCAAAAACATACATTGGAGAAAAGATAGCCTCTTCAACAAATGGTTCTGGGAGAAGTGGAAATCCATATGCTGCAAAATGAAACTAAACCCCTATCTCTCACCATGCACAAAACTCAACTCAAAGTGGATCAAGGACCTAGAGATCAGACCAGAGACCCTGCACCTTTGGACCCAAATTTAAGACACAAACCACAGCAATATCTTAAAATGTTATCAAGTATTCTAAGAATTAACACTTAGATACAAAAAAGCTATTAATATTGCAAAGCCCTAAAACCTTGCTTTAAGTTCTGTCACTTTTCATTTATTTGTGAAATATCAGTAATTCCTCAACCATACTAATTACAGAAATATATTTTAGGTTTTTATCTAGTTTGAAATATCATTAAAAGATAAGTGTATTCTAGATACTAAACAGCACATGCTATCATTTGCACAAATGCAGCTTTAAGTTGAGTAACAAAAATTTAAAAAATCAAGTGAACTGTATGTGGATATCTCTTTTTAAAAAATAAATAAGCAGGAAAGATGTATTCACAGAAATATTTATCTGGTCTAGCAAGAGAGAAGATGAAGCCAACATTAAGCCTAGTAGGCTAAGAAACAAGAGATTAAGAAACTGTAGCACAGAATTAGAAATATGGGCAAATAATTGAAATTATAGTGTAGAAGAGAGATAATAAGTTTTAACAAAGAATATGACATTAAATATTAAGGGGGAAAATATACTTCCATAACCCTATGTCCAAGTGTACTTAAACACTATCTACTTATTATCACTTTCTTTGCCCCTAGGTTCAAGCTTCTTAAAGATGATACTAATGCCAGGTGTGATGGCACATGCCTGTAATCCCAGCAGTTTAGGAGGCTGAGAGAAGAGGATTGTAAATTCAAAGCCTGCCTCAGCAAAAGCAAGGCACTAAGCAACTCAGTGAGACTTTGTCTCTTTTCAAAACAGGGCTGGGGATGTGGCTCAGTGGTCAGGTGCTCCTGAGTTCAATCCCCAGTACTCAAAAATAAAATAAAATAAAATAAAGATGATACTAATGATAATGGTGACAGCATTTAGTAATGAGAGCTTTTCACACACCAGATACTGCTGTGGGGATGTTACATATATTAACACATTTAATCCTCAAAACTGTCTGAAGAGGGTACTGTTGGCTCCATTTGCTAAACAAAGGAAGTAAAATACAGAGAAAATAAGTGACTTGTCCAAGGTCACTTAGCTAAGAAGCATTAGAACTAGAACTTGAAGAAATGCCTACAGTGTAGACATTGTCCATCTCCTCACCTCCCAGCTACTTTTCAGTGTCCCTAATCAGGATTCTACCTTCACCTCTCCACTGAAACTGCTTACCAGTGAGGAACTAATTGCCAAATCCAATGGGCTCTTTTTAAATTATCATAATTGATCCTTTCATATATTCTTGGCGATGGGGATTGAACCCGTGGTCTTGTGCATGAGAGGAAAGCTATATCCTCAGCCCCCATATATTCTTGAAATATTCTTCTCTCTTTCAATTTCTGTGACTATTTCTTCTCAGTTTCTTGTTCCTGTTACCTTAAAATGTTGATGTCCAACAAGTTTCTATCCTTGGCTTTTACTCCGATCTTAACTATTATTCATATACTGAGAACTTATAAAACTAAGTTTTTTTTCCCTATGTTCTCCTGTTAATGGGAGATCCAACCTGGTACTGCTGGCCTCTAAGTAATGCTTTAGGCCCATGACATCTGTCCATCATGGCCCTCACCAGCAGACTAGTTACCAGTTTGACTATGTAGTTAAACTAGTCAATAGTTTGCCTAGCATATGGTAGACTGTTAGTTGTTTATCCACTATCCAGTCTCTCCTTTTCCTTAACAGAATCCTGATTTTATTCAGACTGGCTATGTGTTCACTTAAAAGACTACATTTGATAAGTCTCCATGCAGCTAGGGGTAGGCATGGAATTGAGTATAAATGAGAAATAAATGGAAGCAACTGGATGTGATTTCTGGAAAGGCACAATAAAAGAGGGATAGTGGAGACACATCCTTTTACCTTTTACAATTTCTTCCTTCCTCTGCCTGGAAAAGCTGCAAGATGGTGGTGCCAAGAAAGTAGGAAGGTGGGTTCCTGATAAACATATCCCTGGACTGTCTCCATCCAAACTTCATAAATCTCCTTATTTAAAATGTTTGAGTTTTGTTACATGCAGCTGAACTGAATCCTGATATAGTCTAGATCTGTTCATTCCTGAATGAAGATTGTAAGAGTTTGCTTAGTCAGCCTTTTCACTGCTGTGACTAAAACACCTGAACGGCATAATTGTAGAGGAGGGAAAGTTTATTTGGGGGCTCACAGTTTCAGAGGTCTCAGTTCATGGATAGCAGGCTCCATTCCTCAGGGCTTCAGATGAGGCAGAATATCATGGTGGAAGAGTGTGGCAGAGGGAAGCAGCTCACATGACAATCAGAAAGCAGAGAGAGACTCCACTCTCCCATAGTGACACCCTCATTGAACCACTTCCTCCAGCCACACCCCACCTGCCTAAAGTCACCACTCAGTTAATCCCACCAGGGATTAATTCACTGATTAGGTTAAGGCTATAACCCAATCATTTCTCCTCCAAACCTTCTTGCATTGTCTCACATGTGAGCTTCTGGGGACACCTCACATCTAAACCACAGCAGGGCTCAAATGTTATTCCCATTGTGGTAGGTGCCTCAGGAATCCCACAGTCCCACTGCCTTCATTTAAGGTTATGGTATGGTTGAAATGCTTTGAAATCTATTGTATATATTTTTCATGACTTGCATAGACCCACTCAAAGAAGCCACAAATCAGCCCAGGTCTACTTCCTGTGTGGGTTAATATACCCTTCAGATACATGAATACTGCCTCCAAAGTAGCAGAGTGACATACATACTAGGACTCTAGAACAGGTTCTATAGTGAAAAGAAAGTCCAGTAAGCCAAGAGATTGGGTTGGAATGGGTTGGAATGAACTAGATCTGTGGAAAGTATATCTGCCTCCTAATTACTTTACAGCATGCATAACAAAGAATTTTTATTGAAGAAGAAACCCACCAATGATCAAGGCAGAAAATAGAGGGTGTACATAATATTATAGACACAGGCTTCCAACTACAGTAAACATTCAATAAATATCTGCTGATCCAATGAACAAGTGAAGTCATTTGTGGGATATAAATTCCTGCCTATTTACCAATTCTTATCTATGCTACTTCCTAACTATTTAGAAATCAAGTCCTTTCCTGTGTCTATTGTCACTGTCCTAATTTAGATTCTATCTCTTCCATGAAATATGGCAAGAGCCCTCTTAATGGCTCCTGCTCAAATCTACCTTCCTCACTGCTACCAAAGAGCTCCTTTTAAAATACAAATGCAATGATGTCATTGTTCTGTTTAAAAATCCTTCGCTGCTTCCTCATATTTTATAAGATGAAGTCCAACCTATTTAAGAGGGAATCTGTGGATAAATCCCTGGCTATCTTTAGTCTTATCTCTTGACA